GAAATCAGATCTGCCGCTCAAAATGGTTCAATAAGCTTGTTTTTAATTGTTGAAATTCCACAAACATTCATCCAAATCTGTTTTATTAACCGCGCTTTGTTCACTGACACGAGGTCCCCTACCTCAATTAAAGGGTATTTCGACTTATACCGCCGCTTGATCGAGCTATCAAGTCGTATTTCACACCTGTTCCGTGCAATAACCTGTTTATTTTCTTCAGTCTTCTTTTGGCTGGATGACAGGAAAAAAAAACTGTACGTGCTTCGGTGCTCGTCTGCATGGGTAATTTTGAATAATTATCTAACAAAGACGTTCTTTTTCTTCTTAAATAGGAGGCACTTGTGCTAATTTCGCTGAAAACACGTAAAGCTGGTATAACTCAAATCGTTTAGCACTCCGGTAATAGTTGCAAGCAACCAACACTGTCGTGAAGCTTAAAGTATTTTAAATGCAAGCATGCAATTAAATTCTTTCATACCGCTCTATAGCTAATTAATTTGGTGCATCGTACTCTGCAAATGAGATAAATATGAGATAAGATAAACTTTAAGTATGTGGCGATTCTTTTTGCCCTTTTCTAATATAAAAATAGAAAAAAACCGCTAACGGACTTATTCAAATGGATTTAATGAACTTTCAGGACTCAAGCCGAGTTCAGCAACCATTTTAACCACAGAGGAAACTACAGATTGGACACGGAACAACTACCAACGAGGACCCAGGAATATTGACTGCTAGAGTGCGTCCTTCTGCGTACAACTTAGATCTTACACCCACAAAACGCAAACCAGGAAGTTAATAAATCTTCAAGCTTCGTCATGTGCTAGCCGCCTACCCTTTCTGTATACAACTCAATTTCCCCTTCCACTAATGAATCTAATTTAATTGAGGACCCTTCATTTTTTGTCGTAAAATTCTTTACGATAAGAGCGGCAAAAGACACCGCTTTTGTATTGGACTTCAATTTTAATCGAATGTTTGTAACTTAATTGCTAATATTGTGTGAGAAAAAAATCGATTCGTTCGGAGACCTCCCCTTTTTTTTTTTTCCTGAGATGGGCTTTGTAGCCAATTCAGAATTCACCGCATGGAAATTGCGCTAACTGCCTTAGTGGTAGAGAATGAAATTCATCTCTAAGGAAAACTGTGGGTCGTAAAATGTGACATCGAAACAGATGTTGCATGTCAAATTATCAAATGCCTTTGCGACTGGGCCACTGAGAATGTTTCTCTTCTAAAGTAAAATTTACAGCCTTGTTTCCACCCGTGCTGGTCGTGACCTTCACTTTGCGTCATACTAGTAAGAGAGGTGTAAATAAAATACTTATATTTCACTTTCTGAGTACAGTATGCGATATTCTGAGCCGATGCGAGTCTGAAAACAGATGTGACAATACCACACCTGAATCTCTAGGGGCTACAAATGGGTGATAAAGCTGTTGTCAAATAGTTTTGCTTAAACATGTGAAAAATCGAATTTTTGATACAAAAACTGGATGCGCAACCTCTCTCCTGTTATACACAAGTTCCACCCGTTCAACACTTAACATTTGTACTTTAGGTAATTATTTATAAACAAGGAACAGTTGTTATCCCAAGGTACACAGAACTGCAAAAACGATAAGATCACTTTAAGATGATGAGCAAGCCGCCTTGTTAATACTTGTTAACTATATAGAGTCTGTGGTTACTTAAACAGAGTCTATCCTGATATGTTGGATTGACGACTTGAAATTCTTACTGTCTGAAGCGTTTTCTAAATAATTTCGACCTTGATCATCTCAATGTGGAATTTTGCGTGTGATCTTCCTTGTTGACATGCTCGAAGCAAATACTACTATGCTGTGTTTGGTAATTCTTTTTCTTTTCCAAAATCGACTTGATTTGCGTGGTAACTAATATCAGTTAGCTTGGTCGAGTATAAAAGATTATTTGAACACATACTTTAAGTCTAAAAAAGACCCCCCTGCAGGTTTCCAGACTACACTGATCCGATGGTCCGCAGACGTCGTTAGTCCAGTCCACTGGTACTGATTGAATGGCATTGCTTTCGAGGATGACGCACCAATTTTCAACCGACTGAGATTTAAAATTTTTACCCTAATATTATTAATAGCGGCGTTTTTGGATGATTTGAAAGGTTTTAGCAAAGATTCTTTCTAATCAAAACGAAGACAAGATGTTTTGATAACATTGTTTCCGTTGTAAAATTAGATGCCTCAAGCCAGTCACGTAGTAAATTGAGCTGCTTAGCACGAGGGTGTCCCACGCAATGCGTGGGTGCGTGGGTGACAATGTGCTCCTCCCAATCTCAGCGGTTGAAGAGGATATCCAAAAGAAAACTACTCAAATACGGATGTAAAATGTAAAGATTTTTCTTTAAGGAGAAGAAATCGAGCCTTTGTTATAAATAAACAATTCAAAAGAAGATATTATTCTCGGCTGAGAAATTATAACACTATCTTTAATTACCCGACCGAGATAGGTGAAAGAATGTTGCAATATCAGGTCCAGCTTCCGTTTTTTCCCCTGTTGCATTATTTACATCAATCCTTCGTCCTATATTATCTCGTTGACAGTTGTTGGTATTTTTTCCGATTAATGAGACGTAATAAATGAGCTTTTCCTTCACAGCTGATAAGGTCGGCATCGAAATGCAACACTGAATCATGAAATATGTTGCCAACGCCAGTGATCACTGCAATTTAAGAGTATTGCACTCAACTTTTGTGAATTGACGCTGCCGAGTGCCTGATTTTAAGTGATCATCAGGATATGAAATAAAGTGATCCGACCTAAATTTCAATTTTTAAATACCAACGCTAAAATGGCTCTATTAAAATCATTACGTAATACTGTTATTAGAAGCGTGTTTTTCAATTATACCTATTTATTGATCACAACATACACCTTAAGGTATTCTTACGACTTTTTAAAGTCAAAATATAAATTTTGTTGTTTTGTATTGCTTCTCGGGTTGCGAAATTTAGGAGCTATTTTAGCCGGACCGCAGAGAAATTACCATCACGCCCGGCAATAAAAAGACCAAAAAAGCTCGATCTTGAAAATATTTCAGTCATCCTGGAGACATCTGTGATTAGCAGAAGGTGTGACGATGATCAACAATTTTCAACTGTCTTCTTCCACAAATTCCTCTACAATGTTTGAGTGTTTACTATCAAAATTTTATTACGTAATAAAAGTCACGTCTAAGACGATAGTCATCTCACTTTGAATGATCTAGAAAGCGTTTGAAACTGTATCTGAGGGGCTACACTTTTCACAGCGGTAGTAAATTCTTGCAAATCTTATAACGAGTGAAGAAACTGTATCGTATGTATATAATATTCCACTAATATTTCCCGAGATATTTGCTTTCTTGCTATGTTTATTTCCGTAAGTCGTGAAAATTGTAGCATCATTGGAATTCTGTGATCATCGACCTGAACTGTGTAGAGTAACAATTTCGGTGGCCAAGGTCGTCTGTGGTTTGTAGAGGAATTGAACTTGTTAAGCGAACAAAGTTGAACACTTTGAGTATTAAGGGGTTTCGTTCCACTTTTTCCGGTTTTATAGTGTTCCAAGGTTCAGTGATCAAGGCCTCGACTTGATCCTTTCGGGGTTAAAAGAAAAATTGAAAACGGCTGACTACCCAGAACAAAGTCAATTCAAATAGTCGATCGATTCGATGATTTTTTAATAGCGAGGAAACTGGCCATAGATGAAAAACTGAGTAAACTGTCGAAAAAAGCTACACTTACAAATATTGGGCCTTGATTCAATGACACACAATACTACAATTTGTTGATTATCCCGATCAGCAAAGAGCCTTGAAATTTTAAAGGTTTAAATTCAGGATGTACTTTTTCTTGGCAAACCTTTTCTGTTGAGGAGACCCACTGGCGCAACTTACCCGTTTAGAAGTTAGAGATCCTCAGGATTACAAGAAATCTTGAACACACAAGAGGGAGGAGGTGCTGTTAGGCTCTTACCGGCTCATTTGTTAATCTCTCAAAAATCAGTAAAGGGACATTTCTTCAGACCATATGGCTCGGCTGCTTTAGGGTATGACCAATCCAAAAAACCACAACTGCCGTGATTTTCTAGTTAGGTTTGACGGATTTTTTTCCTCCAAGGTGAATGTCAACGATTTGTGATCAAGTGGTTTTATTTCTATCTAAGTACAACCCAAACGACCAACCGGAGATTAGCCATCATTCGCGCAATATAGGGCTTCGCAACGAAGTCTACAATTTAAATTATTGATTTCTCTTGTTGACCGAGTATTAAAACTGTAGCCAGTCTTTTGTCGAATTCCTGGTACAATACACCTAAATGAGAAAAAATTAAGCTAAGCGGGTAAAATTCGAGACCTGCCATAAAACAAAGGACCTCAAAGTGAAAATTTTAATTCCATTGAAACACAATATAAACACAAAAATGCACATGTTGAAGACAATGGGAGATGCAAGTTAATTGTTCTAGAAGGCCATTCTACGTACTTCACAAATCTATTAGCATGTAATTCACTCTCTGCCGCAGAACGACAGAGTGCAAACCGCATTATAATATTGACTTCCGGTTGCTTGAGTGTCTGAGTCAGGAAATCCGATACTTTCTGATGACGTACAAGGCACCCTGTCTGTCTTTACGACAATTGAGAATGTCAAACATTCAACCGAGGCACTTTAAACTCATTTACGATGACAAGGATTGTTGTTTTGAATCGACAATAGTGGCAAATTGCGGATTGACAACGTCGCGTGAGGTTACCCTATATTCTATATCAGCGAGTTTCCAGTTCGCTGGCAAAAATTACAATATAATCATTGGGAGCGTGGGCGAGCAGAAACGTATTCACTAAAAAATATACCCACTGCTTATTGGTTAATTTTCCCGGGAACAGATTTCCTTCCATTGGTTCACGACAAAGGGCGGTCCCGCCGTCAGTCAAGTTTAGTAATAAGCCAATCATGGCTCGTAATGTTATCACCAATGACAACACCACTGACGTCACGTAGGAATCAATTTCCGATATAGCGAACTCGCGGCGTGTTTGAAGAAAATTGCTTTTCCCAAATCGCCGAGCACATTCACTGTTTTGAGTTCATGGTTGGTTGTTGCGGGTACCTAGAGCGTAGCTTCGTTTGTTTCTGTTACGACGATTAAATGGATGAGACGGCAAATCTAGAGGAAAGACGAGACAACCGTCCTCGCTCGAATACTTGGCCCCTCCCGGACCCTTCAGAATTCACAAAATCTGAACGAGAAGTCGATCAGCCGAGCTTGAAACAACTCAACGACGGACCGAAGAAAAGTTCGCGAAAAAATGCCTGGGGAAACTTGTCGTATGCAGACTTGATAACCCAAGCGATTCAGAGCTCCTCAGAGCAGCGGTTGACACTTTCACAGATTTACGACTGGATGGTGAACACAGTTCCCTATTTCAGGGACAAGGGAGACAGCAACAGTTCGGCTGGTTGGAAGGTAAGCTTATTATACATTCCGTATTTCCTTGTACATTCGAACAATCAGATGATTTGACTTCTTTTACAGCTGAGTGGCTCTGAAATTTCACTTTCGCTGCATTTTTCTGTCGACAAATTCTAATGTTATTAAGTCTGTGTGCCTGTCATTTTGTTGCAGAATTCAATTCGACACAATTTGTCCTTGCATAGCAAGTTTGTTAGAGTACAAAACGAGGGCAATGGCAAGAGCTCCTGGTGGATGCTTAACCCCGATGCGAAAGGAGGCAAAACGAGTCGTAGGCGTTCAGGCTCTCTTGATTCGGCCCCTAAATCAGAGAGAAAGCGAGGGCGAACGAAAAAGGAGAAAATTAAAGAAGAAGACGGCGAGTCTCCTTCAAGTCCTCGACTGTCGGTGAATCGCGCGCGTGACGGTAGAGCAAACTCTCCGGGGAATGTCTCGCCGACTAACAGTTCTAGTTCTGACTCGTTGCTCACAATCCCAGAGTCCGAGTCGCCGTTACCTTTCCCTCTTAGCGAAAGCTTTGCTCGGCCGCGAACATCATCGAATGCTTCGACAGTTAGCAGTCTTGGTGGTCGTTTGTCTCCCATACCGGCTCATGTGGATGAACTTGAACTATCCGTCGAAGATCAGCATTTACCTCCGGGTAATTTCAACATCTCCAGCCCCCCGAATCCAGCTGCTGAGGAACTTACACAAATGGCTGACTCTATGAGTTTGAACTCGTTAGCAGCGGAAAATAGATTAAAACAGACTTTAACACAAGTACAACCATCGTTACTTCCGTCAGAACCGCCACATAATGAGCTCGCTATCACTGCATCAAACGGTATGAATTCCAGCATTTCGAACAGTTTTGACACTAGTTATAATAGAAGTGGATATTTACAACCCATTCAACACCCTCAGCAGTCTCTCAGCCCAGAAATACACTCCCCTCAGAATATTCCACCTTCACAACCGACCTTCCGAGATCGGCGTGTATACTCGCAACCCCTACAGCCTCGCTTTCAGCGACGCAACTATCAAAGTCCACCTGAGCGGCAGAACACTACACCAGCTCGAGTGAACGACATTTTCTGTCGCGATCAAGAGATGGAAGTGCAGCATGCACCGGAGAATATGTTTCAGAACTTTCAGCCAAGTTATGTTAATGGAAACCAGTGTGGCGTTAATAGCATACCTCAGAACCATCAGACCTTTAACAGTTACACCGATCCCTTCATTCAGCATGTCGGGGCAGGTTCACTCATCATGGAAAATGGACTTCATTCTATGCAAGGACATCCATTCACTAGAGATGTTAGAATGACAAATAATAATCAACTGGAATTTATGAATGAAAAGTTCCCAAGTGATTTAGAACTGGATGCCTTTCATGGCGATCTTGACTGTGACATAGAGAGCATTATATATGATGAACTAAATATGGGAGATGGAGGCTTTGATATCAACTTGGAGCAATTTATCAACCAGCTGCCTAATGTAGGAGAGTTGCGTAGTGGTCTCTACTAATTCAGACATTTAATTTATGGTTTATAGGCGCAATATTTTTTTTTATAACAGATTGAGCCTATGTTTTTACTTCTTCTGGTGGGTTAGTTGAGAAACTTGTACATAAAGGGTCTCTGTAGGGTCAAGTAACTTCAGAAAAGTCGTGTCTGGGGAGCCAGAATGATGACTGAAGGGAAGAAGTTTGTATTTAACCTATAGTAAGTTAAGATGGGTAAGGTTGTATTAGAACTTTACAAAAGATATGTGGAATTTTTCCTCCTGGGGTTAAATTCTTCCTGATTACGTTTTGCATTTGTACGGCTGTGAACGAGTTCCTGTACATCTGCACCGGAATAAACCTTCATGTTTACATCCAGTATATCTCACATTATATCACATTGTTTAGCAAGGTTATTAATACTATTTGATGTTTTGGTCACAGTATGGTACATTGCAAATATTTGGCTTTTTTTCCTCTCAAATTGCCCATCAGTTTCTTGCCATGTCTTGACAGTGCAGCAACTTTTGGTTTAGAGCAATATTCTGTTGCCTGCTTTTATTTCCAAGATGTAGTGAAGCTGACACTAATTTACTGTAAGGGCCTTACATCAGTCTCTTTTCCAAGTTGATGCTGCATCTCTTTAGCATAGTAGATAGGAATTGAGATGTTTTAAGTACAGTTGCAACATGCTCCATGTTTGCTATGTTTTCATTTGTTGCACAATTCTTGCATAAATTGAATTTGTACTTGTACAGTTTAGGTCAGTATGAGATATTATTTTTAGAGAGAGTATAACTGTTTTGTTAGTTTTGCTCAATCTTGCTAGACTCGTTGCTCTATGTTTGCTGCATTCTGTGCTTGAAGTCTGGCACACAAGTGTTTGAGGTGACCACTGTTTTTTGTGTGGGAATAATTTGATATAAAATAATACAGAAACTTATGTAGCTGTTAAATGAATTGAATTGTATCAGTCAAATAAATGAAAAGTAGTTGCTTTGTAATATTGTGAATATCGATTGGAGGAGGTGACCAAGGTTTCTCCTTTATAGTATGTTAAACTTGGTCATGACGTGCACTGAGTCACAAAAAAATTATATATCAATGCGACATGCCTATATTTATGGTATTGGAGATAATAAATTATTTTCTGTTGGCAAGTGATTCAGTTATTAATTACTTAACAACTGGGGATGAAAAATTTACCACAAAATCTTAGGAGTGCATCAAGTCTGCAGGTATATTAATGGACTGCAGTGACATGAGAGCAAGTGAACTTTATTTTAATTCATGCTGTGGTTCAGTAGGGCTAGTTGAATTCTTGAAGAAGCACATCATTTCCATGTGCTTATACAGCCTTCGCTGGAGTGATATATGCAAATATACAGGCGATTATTAAGAGGTTCCAGCTATTGTTTTGTAGCGTGATACCCGCAGAGCAGACAGGTTCAATTGTTACAGCCGGAGCCAATACAAAGATGCTTTTGTTATATGCAGCCATTTATTCCCAGCCAGCAATTATTTGGCGAACCCTTAGGAAACACTGAATCAGCTGCTAGAATTCAAAAGAAACAGAAGGTCGTCATTTTTGATTGTCTCGTGACTGCCGGCATGGCACATGATTCTAGTGAATACCACCGGGCACTTGAGCCGGCCAGAGTGGATTTAAATTCTTCTCATTTTACGCTAAATTCGTCGCGCGTTGTAAACCAAGTAGTATGCTTCAGCGCTTATGGAATGACTCCCGCGCGCTTCCAGAATGTTTTGTGATGAAAATTCTAATGAGGAGAAAATGAAATGCAGAAATGGCTTTAAAAACTTTCGTCACAGCAAAGTGGGTATTTTGTATCCTCTCGACAGTATATGAGACATTTCCTATCTATTGTTCTCCACTTTTGTTTTGCTTCGTCATGCTTGGCTAAAACCACGCTATTCGCTGCCGAGTTGATTCCTAATTACTGCCGATGGTAAATTTGTATGGAAGGACAAACACTGCTGAAATATTTTGATAAAAAACACAATCTCGACCTCTCACTTTCAGCTGATAATGTTTCAAAGAAAACAATTAGCCACTTGCAGGTGAATTTTCGTTGGGATCCAGCTGTGGTTTCCGCTATAAAGTGAGCTAGATGATAATGCGACAATCAAATATTTTTTGCACGGCTTGATATGTTTGCGCGCGCGGATCTCTCTTGTTCCATTCGCGCGAGAAAGATGAGCGCGCGCGTACCATTACGACAGCCATGACAGAGGGAGTTTGAAAATGCGGTCTGCCTTAATTTGTTGAGCTCGATGGATCAATTAAAACTGATCAAACCACGAGATAGCTGTAAGGCAATAGTGCGAAATGATATGTCGATTATGATATTTAATCCGGCTTTTACAAGTCTGGGCATGGTCTTGGTTTGCCACGCGAGACTTTATTGAGCCGGACAACGCTGCAGATCACCGTCCAGCTTAGTTCAATCGTTTTCGATGTTGTTTGTGCTATAAAGAAAGCATAATGCATTTGTTAAAAAGGTAGTCTACGGAGCGATTTGTCTGGCCTGTTCATTTTCTATCAAGTATTGTATTATCTTTAGGGTAGGGAAATACACAACCAAAATATTACTTCATTTCTCAAATATCGGTGTATAACGGACAAAATAAAGGACTCAACAAATCTCGTTAATGTGCGGATGTGACGATGACAAATTTGTTCAGCATAGTAAAATGACACTTGTTTGTTGCAGAGTAATATTTTTAATACATTCTTCTGTTTTCTTTATGGATAAAGAACAGTCAAGCTCAAGGTTGAATAACTTTTAATCCTCAAAGTTAGAACCCACCTCTCGTTTTGCCCTCTGTATCCGATTATATATCCCCTACAGCTGAAATGGATTATATCAAAAAGATTTATTGCCTGTATTAATTTTCAAAGACTATTACTTTCAAGATTAGAAACAGTTGGGAACTTGGCGTTTTAAGATTTTAACCCCCACCCAGTACCCCTCAGTCCTTGTTCGACCTTTGTCCCCATGGAGAGTTAAAAAGAGGGAATAATTTTTTAAAGCCCTTCATATTTTCTTTTGAAAATGCGTGATAAAAAAAATATTCCTCATATTTGTAGCACTTTCATATCAGTAAATAATTCCATTCAGTGATGCGTTACTACTTTTGAAATTACAAGGCGGAAAGCATATGGAAGGAAATGATAAGAAAAGCAAATAAAATAGCAGGACAACAGAATGGGTGGGAGAAAAACGAGGGGAGGAATTGAAAAGTAGGAAAAGAGACCGGGATGGAATATAAATGAAAGAATAAAAGATGAAAGTGGACGCGAGAGAAATGACCTTAAAAGGAAATATATTGCGAAAGTCACATCAATGCCGCTCTTTGTTCACGGTTTAAAAGTTCTGCCTCTCATGACAATAACATGCTTATTTCCAAATGAAGAGGGGTCATGTGAAAGATGAATAAATTATGCTGAAATATGGCGCCTGCAATATTTGATATCAGTCTCGATGTCACATGCGCAGTATGTAGTGTATTTCGCGCGAAACACAGTTGGAGTAACAGAAGGTTAAATTCAACTTATATAACTAATTATTGTTTACAAATGGCTTTCTGCGCCATAACATCGGAGTGATCTCTTCACAGAATGATAGAAGGTTGTATCGTCGCAAAACTGGTACTTGGTAAGTCTTAAAATAGGGTAGGCGCATTAAGGGAGAGCTTCGATATAATGCGAAAGTGACAACGTTTTCGATAGATTGCTGCTTAAGTTTAAGTAGCACTTCAGAATTACTCAATTTGCTAAATTTCTGACGATAACTTGTTGGGTGAAGTCTTGATGGATCGATAATTCTCGCAATTATAAAATGTCAACAATTGTCATTTTGTAGATCTGTCTGTCGTGTAGGTGTTTACAGCGCTAGCTGAATCTGAATCAGTCCAAATTGTAACTCCAAGATTGAGTTCTTAATTTTACCAAATAGTGATATTTGATCAATATCAAACATTGTATGGCTATTTATTTTACTCTCGTAAAAGTAATAGCAACTTATACTATTGAGAACAACAGAAATAATTACTATAGACATTTGATTAAGCTCCGTGATATTTGATAAATTTGTCGCACCTCAGATGCACTGCCTTTTCTCTTGTTATATCACCTACCTAATATTCTTAAATCTGATGGTAACATAGAGGGCAAAATTACTCAGAATTGAAAACATTTAAAAAGGCTTAACTCTACCTAAAAGTATTACAATTGCATTTATGGCTAATATTTTTTAGCAGGGCTTGTTTCATTGCTTTGGTATTGTGGTACAAAAGTAAATCTCATTCAGGTAATTGTTCATTTTTCAGTTCATTGGCGCTAATGGAATACTGAATTGGCTTCCTATGAATTTGTGCAACAGCATGTGGTTTTTTACCTTCTTAATTAAAGAAACATTTCCCTTTATATTATAAACAAGTAACTGCATATTTCCTCATAAAATTAAGGATGGATTTCACTTGTGTTTTCATAAGTTGCAGAAAAATCATTGTGCTAATCAAGCAATTTCAACAATTTCTGAAAACATGTGTGATATTTATCCTTAATTGTAGTCAGAGTATGCAATTACCTTTACTAATGAGAAATGCTAGCTCTAGAACCTAATATTATGTATGAAGTCATCCTCTGTCTTGTTTTGTTGCTAAAAAATGGGTGCACACTTTGCATAAGCTTGCTATGGCTATGTTGACAGAAGTCCAATATCACTGTCTCCTTGTTGATTCTCATCCAAATGGGGTAGAAGAGAAGAGCTTAACATTTATAGCCACTCTAAACTAAAAATACTCTCTAGAGGAATTAAACTTCTGAAGCTATTTGAGGCCAAATTTTGCCGCACTGTTATGAGTAGCTTTTTCTTAGAATTTGTGCCACATTCTGAGTCATTATCAGTTGGATAGGGTTGTTAAAGACTTTAGTCCTACTAGGTTTTATGACCAAATATGAGGGCTTTCAATCCTTCATTTTCACCTACATCTTTTATTTATGATATACATCAGTATGGCTGTATTAGTAAACAGTGTTATCCCTTATTTTCAGTGTGACAAGTAAAAAGAAATTTTCTTTCCAGTAGAACAATTGTTTTACCTGTTGAATTTTTAAGAATTCCTAGCCATTTTAGGCAGGAGGAAGAGCTACTGAAGGCAGCAAATTTTACTGGTTACTTCTTGGAAAGAGAGCACTGAGTAAAGTAAGGTTTTGCCTGTTTGAAACCCACTGAGAGAGAAACTGTTGTATGAAATCTAAGGTTTTAGAATTCAGACAGAGTTATGGAAGTACAAGAGCAAATAGAACGATGGTTACTTCTTGGAAAGAGAACACTGAATGAAGTATGGTTTTGCATGCTCCACTCGGGACAAATGTAGATATAAACCAGTGGCTGTAAATGCCTCTGGAAAAAAAAAACAACAACAACAACTGGTGATCAGCGCATGTGCAGAAATGTTGGAAGTGCCTTTTTGGAAGATATATTTTATATGCTGGATAATTTTAGACTTGGGCTTTTTTATCTTTTGAGTTTTTCTAGGATTAATGTGCTTGATATGTTTCACAAAAGCTATGTGATTTAAATTATAACAAAAAGAGCCTCTATATTACATGTGATTAGTGCCTTGGGGAAAAAAAAGTGTACTGTAGGGAAATAAGTTTTTAAAATATATTTTTGCGAAAGAGGGGTTGAAACAAAACTTCACCCCACTGGAATTAATGATTTAATTTCATTCTAGTCTTGTTGCTAAATTTCACAAAATTTGCACTTGTTTACTTCTTGGAAAGAGAATACTGAGTGACTGAAGCATGGTTTTGCATGTTCTAAACCCACTGAGAGAAAGGCTGTTGTATTTAAATCCAAGGTTTTAGAATTCAGAAACATGTGAATGAAAGTGATCCTCGCAGTAATGTGCACTACTTAGGCAGTAGTGAAAATAACAGGATTTGAACCCATGACCTCTGCGATACTGGTGCAGCGCTCTACCAACTGAACTAACAAGCCAACTGGGAGCTGGTCATGATGTTGGTTCTAAATAAACCCGTGAAGTGATGAATAAACGGTTAAGAATATATGAAAGTCATATTTTTAATTCAGAAACAGTTATGAAAGTACAAGACCAAATAGAAAGGTAAAAATAACTTAGTGAAAACAGCAACTCTTTGAATACTGTGAAATTGGCCACAGAGCTGCTACTCCTGCAATTATCACAGTCTGGTTAAAATAGAAAACATACTGAAAAAAAAAATGATTTTAATCTAATTTAATTTGGTGTTGCTACATCCTGCTGGTATACAGGTATTCCTCTGATGCAGAGAGCAATAATTCAAATCAAACAACTTGATTGAAAAGCACAGTTGAAGAAAGTCACTGTTACAAATTTGCTATTTGAAAGTATGGTTGCCGGTTAAACTATGAATAAATGTAGATGTAAACCAGAGGTTGCAATGGCCATCATTTGGCCTTCCTAATGGAAACAAAGCATCAGTGATTTTGTTCTGTAAATGCCTCTGGAAAAAAAAATTATAGGTGATAAGCACCTGTGCAGAAACGCCGGAATTGTTTTCTTTTGGAAGATATATGATATATGCTGGATAATTTTAGACTTGGGATTTTCAATCTTTTGAGTTTTTCCTGGATTAATGTGCTTTGCACAAAAGCTATGTGATTTAAATTATAACAAAAAGAGCCCCTGTATTGTATGTGATGAGTGCCTTGGAATCAAACACAACTTGATTGAAAAGCACAGTCAAAGAAATTCACAGTTATGAACTTGATATTTGAAAGTATGCTTGCTAGGTTAAACTCTGGACAAATGTAGATATAAATCAGAGGCTGCAGTGGCCATCACTTGGCCTTCCAAAATGGAAATGAAACATCAGTGATTTTGTTCTTTAAATGCCTCTGGAAAAAAAAAGACAGGTGATCAGTGTATGTGCAGAAATGTTGGAAGTGCCTTTTTGGAAGATATATGATATATGCTGGATAATTTTAGACTTGGGCTTTTCTATCTTTTGAGTTTTTCTTGGATTAATGTGCTTGATGTGTTTCACAGAAGCTATGTGATTTAAATTATAACAATAGCAGCCCCTACTTTACCTGCGATGAGTGCCTTGGAATCAAACATAACTTGATTGAAAAGCACTGTTGAAGAAATTCACAGTTATGGATTTGCAATTTGAAAGTATGCTTGCTGGGTTAGACTCTGGACAAATGTAGATATACGCAAGAGGCTGCAATAACTGTCACTTGGTCTTTCAAAATGGAAACAAAGTATTAGTGATTTTGTTCCTTAAATATCTGTGGGAAAAAAAAAAACAGGTGATCAGCACCTATGCAGAAATGTTGGAAGTGCCTTTTTGGAAGATATTAATATGATATATGTTGGATAATTTTAGACTTGGGCTTTTCTATCTTTTGAGTTTTCTTGGAGTAATGTGCTTGATGTGTTTCACAAAAGCTACGTGATTTAAATTATAGTTAAAAGAGCCTCTATATTACATGTGATGAGTGCCTTGGGGGAAAAAAAGTGTACTGTAGCAAAATAAGTTTTAAAAATATATTTTGCTAAAGAGGGTTTGAAACAAAACTTCACCCCACTGGAATTAAAGATTGAATTTCATTTTAGTCTTCTTGCTAAATTTCACAAAATTTACATTTAGTTGCTCTTGTTCCAAATTTGAAATGTTCTCCATTGAGGTAGGAATATTTTTTGTGTCTTTCATGCCACTTTAAATGATTATATCCAGCTCACAAGCACAGTAAATGGCTATGCTATATCATGGTAATATAACTAATGTTTCTGATGTAAGTGGTGCTTGAAAAAGGATTACTACAAGGCAAATATCAATACCTCAGCGTAAGACAGTATAGCATGAACCTAATGAATCAGGTGTAGTTTTGGTTGATAGTAAAATGTTCTGTAAAAATGTTCTCTCTTTGAAAAGCAATTATAGTTTCCTTCAGGAATAAAATCAAGGTTCGGTGTATTCTAGATAGCATGATTTTTTTTTTATCTCTTGTTATTCAAGTGATATGTTAGTATTAGTTAGTATTGTAAAGATTAATCAGCCATAAAATCATTGAGAACTTTGGGAGATAAACTGAGCTTTTGTGTTATATAGCCATTAGAACAAAGAGGAAATGTTTTTGGTGTGAATCCTCACAGGAAACTTAGATTTTTTGTTGTCCAAGCCTTTTGATCAACATGTATTTTTTTTTTTGGGAAAATATTTGAAGACAGAGTGTACCAAGAAATATTGCACACTACCATAATTAAAGAATATATGTGGCCTTAGGCTCCATCATGATATTGCGTAAGCTGCTAAATTATACTTTTTAAAAATGGCAATCATTCAATATCAATTGTCACTTGATACCATGTCTGAGAAAGTGTCAAGAACTGTCTGCTACTCTTGTAAACAGGCAGATTGCCAAACATGTGACTGAAATAAATGGTTTTTTTTAAGAACACAATGGATCAAGAAAAATCCAGAGATAATATGGACACTTGATATCATGCTTTCTAAAAAGTGCTTAAAATTAAAAAGAAATCTCAGGTTTTTTTTCCTCTTTTCAAATTTGGGACAAAATTTGGTTTTACTTTATAAATCCTTTATTTCCTCCTAAAATGTAAAGTAAAAATTTTTAACATAAGAGGAAAGAAACAGAAGTTATTTTTAGAAGTTAAAGGTAATGTTTTTCACAGTATGGAACAACATGTGCAGCCACTGTAATTAACTTATTATTACTTAATTCGGCAGGAACTTAATTTTGTTAAAATGGAACAGACATATTTTGTAAAACTTTAATTTTGCAATTTGGCCAAAATATATATTTATTAAATGGAACTCCATTTTGCAAAAACTGTTAAAATACTGATCTGCAAACAAACAGCTAGTTTCAGAATTCACACAACCAATTTCTATTTTCCATACCAATACTTTCAAATGACATTGAATAAAACTAGATCATTACAAAATCATTTCAAAATGAAAGTGTTTTATTTGACTATTTGACATGTTCCTTTGCAACAAAGCAGAGCTATACAAGAGTAAATGAAACTGTCTATTTGCACTCACAGCTGAAGGACATTGTCAATTTCTTTAATGGATCCTCAGGACGAAAACCTGACTCACCCTTTACAACCCCATCAACTGCTTTCTCTCATATTTTGGCAAAGCAGCGCTTTCCCACTTTGCTAGTCAAGTGTATTAAATTTTGCATGGTTAATTTCCACCAAAACTTTTCAATTGAGTCTAGGATTTTTAGATTTTTTAACAATCATAAAAATTGCAGGGATTAATTCGTGTGAAAATAAGTAACTATATGGTAGTTGTAGAATTGATCTTTTATCTATAAGCATCATGATTATTAGCACTAGAACAAAATATCCTTGACCTGTTAATCTGAGGTGTTTTAATTTTGGGCATTTTACTCTCCTCTTTGAATTAAGGTTACCTGAAAGATGAGGGACTTTACAGAACATGTGCTGCTTTCCAAGATGAATGCTCTCTCTTCTGTGATGACAACAAGGAACTAGACAATGTACATGTTTATTGCTTTATTCAGTGTATGGTTTGAACCCAGGATTAACATTTAATTGGGTTGTCTGATTTTCTGGGTTAGGGTTTATTTGAAAAGGACTGTTGTTGGTTGAAGGGAAAGATGTTTGGAAAACCTCAGTTGAAGTCATGATCAGAGTCCATTTAGGAATATTTTGTCAGTCAAGTGTTGTAAGTCTGGTTCCTGAAAACTGGTTATCAGTTTTTGCCCTGATGTTACCAGTTACATGTATAAGACTTGGGTGATCACTGCCATCTTAAATCTGAGGCTCCCCAAGCTTCTTTGGTCTTTTATTTTCAATTCCAAGGGCTAGCTGCAAAATTTTTTACTTAAAAATCATCCCACAAAAATCAAAGGACATATCTTTTTGTGTTTGATCATCTGCATGTAAAATTTCAAAGCTGTCAAATTCTGTCAGCATCCAATCTGCTTATTAGACCAGCCAGCACAGTTTGCCAAAGGATTCCAACTCCAATTTTAAGTTGTTTTAAAGTTTTAGACTCTCAAGTTTTGCAATGAAATACAATTTTTGCCTTTCTAGTAAACTGATTTCAGTTCAATTATACGTTGATTGTAGCTTTCACAACAAACAATCACAGTTTTGTTTATTTGGTCGATTTTGTCCAGTTTTTACTTGGGACAAATTTGTCTGTGGTGCGTTTGAAGATTTATCCACTTCGGCCAAAATCTGTTAAGTCGCGACAAACAATCTGCACTTGTAAGATGTTGGTGATGACAGAAAATTTGTCTAAATAAACAACTTTTTCATCAGTGTGGAAAGGCCCTTAGACAAAATTAAAAAATAAGTCTCAGACTTGTCAAACAGATCATCAGAAATTCCGATAAGTTGACAGGATTGATATATTTAATAGTTTTCAAGATTCAAGAGTTTCACAGTACAGTTGTCCTCCCATGTGCTAAATGGCGTCTTCCTTTCCTCTAATCGTAGTACTTAGCCTCTTTGTTATGTCTGAATGACTTTCCATCTACAATTGCAGGTCTTTCTTACAGCTGACCTTAAAACAATCTTAGATGATTATTCTCAACTACGAGAATCAGGTCTGGTAAAAAAAAATTATAATTTTTTTTGTATCTTATACTTTTTTTTTTTTTTCAGAAATTTACTTGAACTTTAGCTTTGCTCATGCAACATGAAGGTTACTGTCAACAAAATGTGGTCAAAATTTTTGTTGTTGTTGTTTAGTTAAGAGAAAGCATTCAGTTGAATTTGCTAAAAAAAGATTAGAAAATCTCCAAAAGAATGCAAGACATGGCTGAAAGAGTCTTATAGAGGAATTGGTAAGAATAGCAAAAGGCGTCATAAACCAAACGGCATCCAGCAGAGTAATGACCTTTTCCACAGGCTTTTGTCCTGGATCTTGATGTGCATATTTTGTTTACATCACGTCTTGCATTACACAGAAGGGAATTTCTAGCGCATCACGCAAAATATTGAGAAAGAGGAGTATTCATGAAACAGCCAAAACAAGAAAATTTGCTTTGGGTAAAAACAAGAGAAAGCTCATGTCAAAGAAATTAAAGTTAGGTTTTTCTTACTTCCTGGCTTTCTTTGCCCATTTTTTTTTTCCCAATGAACTTTTGGACTTCCTTTTATCCAATGTAAATTCTTTTTCTCCATTGAAAATTGATTTTCCTCAGTAAGGTCACAAAATAACCTATCCTGAGAATTTTGACGGACTCCTTTGTGATGAGCTTTGCCAGGGGTTCAATGTTGTATTTCACTGGTGGGTGGTATGACCGCATCGGCACGTGCCTAAATGAGGTGCAGAAACTGTGAATTTCTTTGGTGGCAGAATTGTCAAGATTTATTTTTAGGTGACTTACCTCCATGTAAACAAACTAATAGGGTATGTAGATTTTTCAGATTTTGATGAAACTTGGCCAGAAAATCTGTCGTGTGAGGCTTAAATTAAATTAACTGCTGCATGACAAAATATGAATTATTTTATTTTGTCCAATTTCAAAATAGATTTTCTCAGGAACCAATAGGAATATTAAAAAATGTCACTCACTTTGTCAGCCTATTATCTGCTGAGTGATGCAATTCTGTTTGTTTGGCCGTCTGTGGTAATGTGGAGGTTTGTAATTCAGTTAAGCAAATGGCGGCTAATTGGTGGTTTAAGGCTTGCACGCACTTAACACTGTGAAAACTTCTATAATTTTCAAAATCTATACTTTTAGGCTTAACAATGATATAAATTTTTCTTTGGTTTCTATTAATAAAAGTAGCACACATAGAACAATTTTTATTCTGAATTCACCTTATTTTGTTGACAGTAACCTTAACTGGTTGTTTTTCCTCAAAACTGAAATGCTTTCTTAGCAAGTAGACACAAGGAATTAAAGGGGCTTTTGGGAGAGATAGTTGGAATCATGAAGCTTAAAGGTCCATTGTTAACATCTTACAGGATTGTGGGGGTCTTTTAGGTTGTTTTTTGGTTATAATTATGTCAATCTTTCTCAACAACGGAGAGGCGTAAGCCTTGTTCAAACAGTTATGATAGTTGATGATAGTTTCAACCATCACACATGTTTGAACACAAACTATCATGCACTATCATCAGCTATTGTGTACTTTAGACATGTTCAAATTTGACATGATAGTTGATGATAGTTTTTGCTGTTTAAACGAGCAGATGATAGTGAATGATGGTGATAAATGATGATAAATGGCAAATGGTAAAATAACCAAAGTAGCTTCCTAGATTTTGTGGAATGTCTCGTAGTTCATTCTTGTCATCTCCAGCTAGGCTTCAGTATCTTTAACTGGCAAGTTCTGAACTGAGATTTCAAATTCCACTGTAATTGCTGACCTAAGCACCTGTCATATTTCTTTACAATTACACAATTATGGGTAGGTTTCACAATTTTGTCATCTATCACTAACTACGGTATCCTAAACCATTTGAACACAAACATGGTAGTCAATGATAGTGAACAATGGTGAATGATAGTTGAAACTATCATTGAGTAACATCAACTATCATGACTGTTTGAACAGGGCTTTACATGTGACATTACATTATTAGTATTTTTTTTTTTTTTGGCGTTTTGTCTCTAGGAAGGGAAAATGGCATGATAAGTGGCCCTGCTGTTTTAAAATCACTGTGGAATGATTTGGATGTTGTGATTGGACAATTGAAGTGAGTGTGACAACCAAAATGTATCTTTCAGTATTGTCAGCCACAGCTTGGTTGCTGGGAACTAAAAAGTAATGCTGATCTTTTGTGTGAGATTTGAGTCTGTTGACAGGTCTTGATCAGGGTTGTTGTTAAAATTAAAGCTGCTGTCTGAAATGTCAAGTGAGGTAGCTCAAAGCTGGCTCTTTGTATGCATCAGGAGACCTGGCCTGTTAATCAAATTTTTGTCCCAGTTTTTTTGCAAGGCTTTGAATGGGTGCCTCCCATTTACTAAGTGGTGAACACAAGTTATGGAAAGAAATCAAGACATATGAGAGCTCAAAACAATGTTTTATTTCAATTATTTTATTTGTGGTTTTGTCACTAATACTCAGGTTAGCTAGGCATGTATTTTTAAAAATGTTTTTAATCCAACAGTAGTGGTCAATTTTAAATGATTGTGAGTGCGTAACTTCAGAAGTGCCTTTTGTGCTCTACTGAGTGATTACCAACCAGAAATCTAGCTGGCGATTGCCACTTTTTCATCAAGCAAATCTACCCATCAGATGGCACTTAACGACAACCCCACTTAATAGTTTACAATTACCCATTTATGGGACTTCTGGGTGGAGTGAAGAATTTTGAGAGTACCGTATCTTGATCTGGCCAGGCTTCATGTCATTCAAATCAAATCACTCGCTCCCAATTCATGCATGTTAAACACAAGCCTATCACTGTACCACACATGAAAGGCTGTGTGAGTCTTGAAAGCTATTGAATTCTAATGTTCTCTTTCATGGTCTTGAAAGTTTGGATAGATCTGCAGAATTTTATTAGAATATTTCAGAATTTTATATGATAAAAATCATAATTTACCAGTTAATTATGAGAACTCCTTTTTCAGATATGCTACGATCCCTTCAAGCACGCCAAAAACTTACACAGTCAGTCAGTCAAGTAAGTTACTTCAAGAAAAAAGAGAGTGTGAATTTCAAACTGCCTCTTATTACAGAGCTCTTTGAAACCTCTATGGATAGTTTGTATTTAATGGCTTCACTGTTGATTAAAGATGTAATTACCAACAGGTCACTGCATAAAATTGATAATACGAATCACTTGGTTTAATACTTTTTTTTGCCAAATACTAGTTACAATAGAAAGCTGCAGCTCATTTTGGGGGGAGGGAGAGACAGGAACCTAATTTCCATGGATGACGAGAGACAGAGTTGTAAGCAGAGAGAAACAAGATTTCTGTAGTTGGTGACATGTTGAATGCCTCTGATTGTACTATCATAATAGTTCAAAAGAACCCTTAAGAGATGATTGAAGTGGTAGTTCTTAGTATCTTGAAATGACTATTATACTGGTTGGAGAAAGTAATGATTATCAATATTGTTCTTGTTGTGATCTTCTTCTTCTCTGAACAGCTCGCACAAGGCGACTTAACAATGGCCGCTCAAGAAGAAGCTCGTTACCAAAAAGCCAAGAACAGAGAACAACAACCACAACAAGCCCTTCTCTCCTGCCTCTTGCTAAACCAACTGGAAACACTGCAGCACTTAAACTTCCTTTACCAAGGTTATCAACCAATGGATTGTCATGGAATGTGTCACCGTCATCGAACAAAAATTCTCCCTTAGGCAACCAGGTTATAAGTCGTCACTTAGTGATTCAAAGTAGTCAGTCAAATGTCAGCAAGGAGCAACCCATAACTTTACCCAGAGCATTGACTCCTGTAGGATCTCCGGTTACAGTAACCAGTCAATGCATTGGAGGGAATGTTGAGCCAGCCAGAACTGTAATAAATGTGACTCCAACACAGTCTCCTATCACCATAAGGGTCAGTGATGAACTTGCCAAAAGTGATAATGTTGTCCAAGACTTGTTCGATGATGTAGTAGCTGGTGATTCCTCTGGGGGTACTGAGTTTGATCAGCAGAGAACAGAGAGCACAGCTCCTCCTGTGATTGTAGTTGATGAGGATATGGACAAGGACCAGACAACAGTGAACAGTGATGAAGACTCTCTTGCCCACACTCACCATAACTTGAGCCACGATGAATTACATTTACGCTCACCAAAACGTAAAGGGTGAGGAGGCTTTCATTTCATCTAAAGTATCCGTGACTAAAGCCCCCAGCTTAAAATGTGAATAGTTGTTTTGCTTGTTTTTCAAGTAAGGAAACATGACATTGTTAAACGATAGTCACAAGCTCAAGACAAATTTGAAATCTGAGTTCCTCAGAAAGATCCGTACCTTAGAGCATAATATTTTGCCAGCAGGTGCTTAGCAAGTTAGGTGGTGGTAAGTTAGGCCACCCATTAAGCTCACATTGGACAAGTGCCCTGCATGCTGTTAACCCTTTTTTCCCTAAGAGTGACTAACATCTAATTTCTCCCTTAAGTATCACTCCTGAATCACACATTAAGGTCATGAGAATAAAGGAAATGATCACCAATCAAAGAAGCTCCTGATTGTTAAACAAATTCTCCTTGTCAGCACCCTAGGAATGTATCTAGAACAGTATGGAGAATTTGCATACTGATGATAGGGTGTAACAGGTTAAGACTGTGATTACTAATCTGAAATAGTGATTCATGAACTTTGATTGCAGTCAAGGTGATATACAAATCTGGATAATCACTGATAAATTAACTTGACTAAAATCTTTCAATTTTTTAATCTGAATTATATTAGAAATTGTTTTGTCAGTGTTTGCTTTTCTTTTCTTTTTTTGTCATGCTAGAATCAATTTATTAGTTTTTATTCATAGGATTCAGCCAAAGAGAAGAACCCCTCAAGGTGGCTTAGGGTAAGTTACAACATGTCGTTTTGTGCAGTCGTGGCAAAATCCCAATGTTTTCTAACCCTTAAACCTGATTGTTAATTCTCCCTCACAGCTGCTACCCATTTTCTTGTAAATTAGTTTGGAGAGTTTTGTGTTAGATCAAGATAACAACTTCTACCTGATAAGTTTCAGTATTCTCATTATCTGTTTGCTTGATAATTTATGGAAATTATTATTGATCACCTCTGGGATTTAAAGAGTTAAAAGTAATTAGAGAAATATTAACACAGTATGATAATTAGTTATGTTACAATGAAAAACACTCCCCTGCATAGAGCCAGATTTGGTTATAGAGTAATCTGTCCAAATTACCTAATTATAATTTTTTTGTAAGTATTAAAACTCAAATTTACTGAAAGAGTATTGTGTTTGTTTGTTTGTTTATTCTTCAAAGGACTTCAGGAGCATCCCCTAATTCACCCTCTAAGCAGGTGCCAGCATCTGCAGAAGTTGAAATGGACCTTATATGTTCATCAGATGGTCTGACTCCTGTAAGTATTTATTAGGGAAGATGTGCTTTAAAGGATCAGTACCTAATTGACATGAAGAAATGTGTTCACCCTTTCACACTCAGGATTAACCAAAAAGGAATTTCACCTTACAATATTTATACATTTTTAAGCATGACAAGAAGAACAAAAAAAATATTAATAAGGGGATTTTTTTTTATTTAACATAAAATCCTGTGATCTTAAATTGTAAGGAATGTTCCAAAGACAGTGCTGAGACTTGGGAGTCAAAAGATGAAGGTAAAGCAACATTGTATCAAAGCAAATGATAAGGTGGTGAACTCACTCCCTACACCATGATGAAAGCCAAGTTACCTGAACATGTTGCTGAGGAAATCTTTGTAATAAAAAGCCCAGTGGGATACCTGTGATGGACTCTTAGTACCTGCACAGAGATACCAATTCACTAAGTTGCTTTATGTTAATAAAAAAAAAACCCTCAGGAGATTCCTAATGTATCTGATAATCCAACTGGCTATCCTCCTCCCCCCCCTTTACTCCCAAAGGCTTCACTTAAAATCAACTGAGAATTCATGCTGTTATCAGCGGTGTAGTGATATTACTCACTTTTGTTGTTAATCTTTCAATCTTACAGCAATCTTTCCTGGGTACACTGCTGAGTACCCCGCTGTTGCAAGAGAAACTTGCAGAAAATATCAACAAAGTTGTTGGAGGGTAAGGAACATTATTCTTTGCTTCCAGTTACTATTAACATGATCATATAGTGGAACTTCAATTCAGGAAATATCCCTTGGAGTATAAATAGGGCTCCCTAACCAGAGGATTCTTTTGATAAAGGGAACAGAAACAAGTGTCATAGGATCATTTTTTTCTGCCTAGACTTACATTTGTTTCCCTTGGATGGAGGTGTCTCAAAAATAGAAGCTTTTTCATTATTTTGCAGCTCAAGGCAGCAGTCTGTTGGTGATGAAACACCCATTGATCATACTTCACACAGTTTGATGACAACAGAGGCAAGCAGCAATGATATGCCTACTACATTAAACCAGGTAATAAGACAGTAAAAACCATTTTAAGCCTCCTCTATTTCCTCAGATTACTGTGAATGTGAGGTGGTTGTTGCTTTGGTACTCTTGGGAAAACATTGGGCCTAATATTCAGTGTACTATGTTTGTGTTTAAGCTGTGGCTGGTCACTGTGTTTCTTGGGTGAGACACTCACACAGTGCCCCTTGTGGGGTAGGAGCTGTTGCCTGTGCACTGTGCACTGTGTTTCTTGGGTGGGACACTCACACAGTGCCCCTTCCCCCCTTCCCCCCCCCCCCCCCCGTGGGGTAGGAGCTGTGGCCTGGTCACTGTGTTTCTTGGGTGAGACACTCACACAGTGTGCACCCCCCCTCCATGGTGCAGAAGCTGTGGCCTGTGCACTGTGTTTCTTGGGTGAGACACTCTCACACAGTGCACCCAAGGGGATAAAGATTTTTAGCCTTGAGAGGAGAGAGACATGGTGGACGTTTGTTGTGCCCAGGAACCCTGTGCGCAATTTAATAAGATTACTGAAAATAACATCAGTGTTTGAGGGATGGGGGTTGTTTGTGCTGGACCAGTTTCTATCAAGAAGGCACACAAATGATTTAGCCCTTTACACCTTAATACCTGGGACATGTTTCTCAAAGATCCCAGTAGCTTAATGGGCCTGTAAAGCTGTTCTGGTTTTATTCAAGATGGGGTTTCAAAGATTTTAAAAATTTTTACAATAAAACTGTCAGCTAAAGAGACAAAATAGACTGGTTGGGTTGCACAATTTACTTCTCTATTCTTTAAATTTTGATTTTAAAATATGGCTTCGGGCCCAATAAGTTACCGGGACTTTCAAGAAATGGGCCCCAGTATCCATATTCCTCATACATTTTCTTTGGTACTGACAGGGAGAATTTGTTCAACAATCAAAGCTTCTCTGGTTGATGATTTTTCCTTTATTCTCATGGTCTTAACCCTTTAACTCCCATGAGCTTAACTTTGAACTTTGAACTTTATTTTTATTTAGACACGGTAAATCTATCAGATAAAATAATAATATTATTACAATCTATTATTACAGTTACAATCTATTTTAATCTATATAAACATGATCTAAAATTTAAAAGTAAAATAGAAAAAAATAAGGAAATTCTGCTTTACATAGATGCCGTGTGTGTTTTGTCGATTCAGAGGAAGAAATTGCGACAACCATTTCGGAAGGATTGAAGTGATTTTGCTTGCCGCAATTCAGGGGACAAGCTATTCCATATAACCGCACCGTTATAGCTAAAGCTATTTTTTTTTAGGAAATTGGTGCGAGGCAATGGAACAGCTAGTTTGTTTTCAGAGTTCCTTAGATTATATGGAGGATCATATTTAGTGAAAAGAGAACCAAGATAGTCGGGCGCAAGACCATGTATAGATTTATAGACCATGGTGGCCACTTGTATTTGTCGCTGAGTATCTAACCGTCTCCAGTTAAGTTGCACAAAAAGAGGATAAGCGCTTGTGTCATAACTGGAGAAGGTCAGAATACGGGCAGCCCGGTTTTGCAACTTTTGGAGCTTATTCGAAAGACCCTTGTTACAATGCCCCCAGACCTCGCTGCAGTAATTAAAGTACGGTTGAACTAAGACATTGAAAACGGACTCAAGCGTGGTGCCTTAACTGGAAACTTAACTGGAGACGGTTAGATACTCAGCGACAAATACAAGTGGCCACCATGGTCTATAAATCTATACATGCAATGAGTGACCAAGATAGAATTTCTCCTTACAATATCAATACAATATCAAGCAGACAAGTGATGAGAATAAAGCAAAATCTTAATTAGGGGATTATTAGCTGATCCACTACCAAATTCTCCAAACTAACATCACAAGAACTATACAGCAGACAGTAAGGAGAATTTCTAATGAGATCTTGGGAGTTAAAGGGTAAATGAATGATTCAGCAGTATTACTGTAGGAAGAAATTAGATGTTGGTCACTGCTAGGTTAAAATTCATGTTGATTCATCAAAGATTGCTCTGCTTCACTTTTGTTATGTAGGGTGGTAATGATATTCCTGTCAAGGAAATCTTAGATTTGATGCAGGCCGATCCAGCTTTTGATGTCCTTTTCTCAGTATTTGGACTTGGTGAGTGTGAATTCTTTCATTAGTGACTTGTACGTCAGAGTTTTCATTTAAGCATTTGAAAGCTACAGCAGACTTGTTGACAGGCTAAGCTGTATGGTGGGGTTTCTTGTCCTAAGTGTTTTAGTGTCCTGTGGGGAGGTAGCCTGTGTAGTCTGCCAACAATAATTGTTCGGTCAGTGACTGATTTGGGAATCTTGTTATTAAAACAGATGCACTAGACGCTTTACCATCAACAGCCCATGCTACAGCAGACACAAGCTTATGTGCTGAGGTGTCGGCTGAATCAAGTCGGCCGATGGATTCTCTTTGCAGCTTGCCACCATCATCTGCTGCTCAACTTCCGGGTAATGAAATTATTTTTATCTTCCTTAAAGAAGCTTAGATTTTGTCTTCTAAGTGAAGTTAAATTTGTAATATTCCTTAACGTATCGGTAATTTTTTTGTTCAACGTGAGGTTGATGCAAAGCTCTGTTGTGAAACTCAGAAAACCGTGAACAGCAGGAACATTTGTGGAAATTTAATGAAATATTGTCATCATTAGCATTGTCATTAGCTTTTTTATTGTTATTTTAAATAGGTGCCCTCGACGTTTCCTCTTTTCCTGAAGAAAATCAATCTCATTCGGTAACCAATGTTAACACCATTTCACCACCAACATCAATTCACCAAAGCTTAACCTCGAGTTCCTCGTCCACTTCAGATTTGCACCTATCAGGTATTTGTCGTTTCGTGTGGATATTTATGTAGAAGTGAAAATTTAGAAGCGCCTAACACAGTAGAATAAGGAAAACCAAATGATGGTACTGAAGGGCCGGAAACTTGGGCCTTCCTAACGTGTGGGACGGGTAACTTTTCCATTCGGATAGGGTAAATTATGATCTCTTTTGTCCGACCATCGTTGGATTTCGGACAATTCCGTCCAAACTCGAACGCTATCCTCCAATTTGTGACACTGACGTCCAACTTCACCCCCTTACTTCCGATTTCTGACGCGATCGTTACAACAGCATGTAATCTAGGAAACATTCCCTTCTTTTGTTGGTGTTGTTGTTTTTTTTTTCGCGCGACAAGAATAATACTTTTGGCGACCGTTTTATGATTTACATGTAAATACGGTGACTGAAAGAAAAGTTGAGTTGGGACCTTTCAATAGTTCACCCTTCCAACAGTTCTTCCACAAACTTTAAGGCGTCAACAATCGGAACTCTCTTGTGAGTTAGCCTCGGGTAGGCAGCCCTACATTACTTCTGGCTGCCTTGACGTGAGCCATTTCATAGAAATCACATCCATGTTCTATCCGTAAAATCACATCCATATTTATCCGTAAAAACTCCACTCCTCTCCCCCCTCCCCCTCCCCGCCCCCGAGTTAATTTTTTTCATTTATTTCTATTTTTCTTTTCAGCCACTAGTATCGTCACTGATGCGTTACTCTTACTGGCCGGCAGCCCGCAGAAGATTCCTTCTCAAACACAGTCACACTCTGTTCACGCAGTAAGTTATCAGAGCACTGAGAAACATTTGCCCAAAACCCCGCCCGAGGAGACTACTCAAGGCCATTGGTCTACAAACAGCAGAGAGTCCAGAGTTAATTCTTCCTACAATCGGCCCAGTTTGATCACGTCAGCCTTTCCATATGTTCGTGCGCTCGATTTTAATCTTGGAAGAACACCAGAGCCTACCAAGAGGGGTGGAAAGAGAAACAATAAAAGTAACAAAAGCGTTGGGCAGAAAATGACAGCAGATAAAAGCGACAAAGCATCTTCAAATAAGAAAAAAGCAAGAAACGTAAAACGAAGTGTGGAAGCTAGTAACTCGTCATCTTCATCTTCATCTAGTACTGCCATTTGCAACAGTAACGTGCAGTCTGTGACGCCCACGACTGTTTCAAGAAGCATGAACATATGTGCTGCGCAATCACTAAACAACTGCGCAAGGCAAAGGAATCTCATTTCCTCTTCTGTCGTTGATGTTGTACCCAGTGCTCCTCCTATCGTTTGGTGTTCCAGTGCTATGAGCTCTTCCACCACACCCTCTGCATTTCCAGACACTGTTTGCAGTTCAGTCGTCAGATCAATCCCCCTGCCTGGTAACCTGATGGGAATCTCCTCTTTGCATAGTAACCTCGCCGAAACCTCCTCTTTGCATGGTAACCTGGCCGAATCCTCCCCTCTTCTTTCTTACCCGGCCGGACCCCCTCCTTGCCCAACACCAGCGGCAGTTACATACGTCACTCTAGGATCAAGGCCTGGCGACTCACCCGTCACATCTGCCAACTTGGTAGCTGATGCATTTACCGCACCTGTCAGTGTCCCCGCCACAGCAGCCAGCCAGCCCAAATCCTTTGCCAGTCATCCGAGCCCAGAGAGCGACAGTCTTGTTCTGATGAATCCCATCGGTTCTACCTTTCACCCTACCCCTCCTACCGTCAATTTTTCTACCAGTACCTCACGTCATGTACCATCAACAGTCACTCTTGGCAACAAAGGTTTTGCAACGTCCTCTTCATTCCAACATTTGTCGAGTACCTTAACTGTTCAGGACAGTCCGGTGAACCCAGTCGTATGGAGCACTGCTCCTTCTCCTAATCTCACCAGTTCAGTCATTAATCAGCTTCCGTTACCCACCAGTCTTGTACGCTCTAACCCAGCAAAAAAATTCGGTGCATCGCTGTTGTCACAAGCTTTCAACACGTTAACTCCAACGTCTTTAATAGGAACTGATCGTTGTGTTTTACGTGAACAATTCACAGGCTCTTCTACTAATGATCGAAATTCAATGACTGGTCCAGGACGAAATGTGAACGATCCATCACTGACTGGATCGGTGGCAAGCAACGCAGAAATTACAACTACAACGACGTCTTCTGAAGCTTCACACTCTTTAAACGCTCCCAGTTCGTTACAAACTTTTGCAGTAAAGCATAAGAACTCTGACGAACCTCAAAAAACAAACCAGGTTGCCGAAGAGAGTAATCTGGGGGCACCAAACACCACGCCTCGCTTAGCTTCAGAGTCAACACTTGAGCCACAATCTTTAGAAGAAAATTTAGCATCTAAAAGTAATGAAAAATCACAGAGAAACACTGGAAAGGCAAACGAAAAACATGACGATGAAATACCTCACAATGGTTCTGTGAAGGATTTAACGAGTTCTGTGCCTATCTCAGGCATTCATACGGAGGCGCTGGAAAGCAAAAGTGGAAGTACGGATTCTTTGACAACAAATCCGGTTAGTGGTGATCTAACGAAGGAAAACTCCGCAGGGATGGTACAGTCAGGATCGAGTTGCGAATTAGAAGGACGCGTTTCATTAACGCAGTCAGGGAAAAGACGAAGGGATTTACTGGAGAGGGAAAAGGTAGGTGGATGAGTATCGAAAGTAAGAGAGACTGAATTGGTTTTGTTTTACCAGACTTTGTGGTTGGTGTAGAAAACTCGGGCCACCCTAGTAACCAATCGGATGCCAAACTAAAGCCAATCCAGACTCGGTCAGGCGCGTTTTCCACGTTTACGGCCGTTTACATATTTGCGAGGTAACCTGATCTTGAAGCAGCACAAGAGTCGCTGGCCGCGAAAACGAGGAAAAGTCAAGTTAATTAGTTTTCTGATTTTAATCTAAGACAGTTTTCTTTACCCTGAACCGTCTTTGTTCTCGTTGTTTCATTGTTACCTTTCCGCTGCTGTTCTTTCCTGTCAAACCTTTATTTAAAACTTTATCGCAATTTAATTACACGATACACAGCACAAAACTAAGAACACAAATGAACAGAATTCCTTTATTTGATTATGAAGAATGTTACCGATATGTACCATATTGTTTCGTTTTAAGGAAAAGAACACAAGATCATTATCTCGACCTTCGAAGGTTTGTTGCAATAAATCTTTTAGTTATTATTCAACGTTACTTTTTAAGAAAAAGAACGTACATTGATTTTAGATAATACGCAGGTTTATGTTCAAAACTATATTCAGTGCAAAACAGGTCCTCGAACGACTAGCGATTTAAATAACAGGGCAGTCGTGCTCTCCTCGACTTTAGACAGCGTTTGGGAGATTCGTGAACAGTCTATGAAGACTGTAGAGATGTAAAGCGCAAGGGAACCTGGGAAGAAAGGAGACAAGGCAGTCTCTCCCTTCATTGTTTATCAGCAGAGTGAAGTATTTGTACGAAGTAGAAACCTGTATCTCTCAAACCCCTCATTATTCTAAGTTTGACATCGTCCTTTGGCGGGCACTCACTTTACTGCTGTGATTTCACAGTTCCTACTGTACCATTTCTGCTGATCTTAGGAGGTCTAGGAGCGAACAGGATAGCGAGTTTAAGCATCACTATTCGGTGAATGCAAAAATTGCTCTCTGATATACTCACTTTTCGTCTAAGCAATGCCGTTGAAAAAAGAAAAATCTGAACTCTAGTGTTTTAAAAGCCGAAAGAGGGCAGACATTTTTGCCATTTTCTATAAACATCATGTTTAATTTCTCGTTGGAACTTCTCAGTATGATTTATTTGTATTTGAGAATGTATTTTCACGATTTCGTTTACTATCATACTCAAAGACGGTTTAATTTCTTCCTACGGTGTTCTTCTGTTTCAGAGATCCAAGACCAAAGGAGGGAACGTCAATTTTCCATCAGATCTGAATGTGGAAGACTTTTTATCAAAGCTTCACTATGAGGTTTAGAAGATTTCTTTAATCAAGAAATTAGATGTATTACAAATTGATATTTTTATTACAAATTAGAAGATGTTTATATATTCAGAGATATTTTGAAATATTTAAGACGCATTGTTAGAAATGAGAACATGTTAAGTACCCATAATGCTGCTGTAATGTGCTTTTGGTTATGTAGTGTACATGAAAACTGCTTTTGAAAATGTATTAGATCTAATTGGTTTTATTTAGGTAAGTTCACCCTTTAAACTCTAACATCAGTATGCATATTCTCCATACTGTTCGCACACATTTCCTCACGTGCTAATAATAAAAATTCGTTAAACAATCAAGAACTTCTTTTGTTGGTGATTATTTTCTTTATTCTTGTGACTTAAATGTGTGCTTCAGGCGTCATTGTAAGGAGAAACTAGATGCCAATCACTCTTTGGGGATTAAAAGGTTAAGTCTGCGCTCGAGCCAAGTTTCCCGTCCAGCCGGAGTTTATTCCAGTTTCTGTAGCATGAAGCGACCAGAAGTATTGCCGTCGCCATCATTCGCTCTGACGACGGATTAACGCTCAAAACGTCAGCTTTTAAATTCTTTACGGTGGCCATTTTACGTTATCAACTCAGCTGATAATACCAAATAACCCTGTTGTACTCTTCCACCGACGCAGCACCACAGTTCCTTTAGAAACTTACCCCCTTTACACATTTTCATTATTCCTTGGATTTTATCTGCCTCTGCCTATTGATTTCATTAGGTCAGCACATCTGTCGTGTTCATCCTCGTTTTCTCAGCTTGCAGTGCAGGCGTTTTACTAGGGCGAGTTAACGTTACAAGCTCGCCACCATTTTTTTTAGACCGGCCATGTTTGACTCATAGTTGGAGTGGATAAGGATACAATAGAGGGAGGGGGTGGGGAAAGACCCATCCCCACACCTCTCATTTCTTTTCAATATGGCCCACACCATAATCGCACCCTGACTTATTTCTCTCTCCTCAGTCTTCCGCTGCTGTTATAACTTATAACTTTCACCAAGAAAATGCTAGGCACTCGCGCGCCAAAATTACACCTGCACTGCAGGTTATCGTTTTCTCACTCACTGACTCTTTCATTGATCCCTTAAACAAAGAAAAGAAAGTTTTGGAACCATTCTCGTGCATGGATTCTCGAAGTGGCAATCTGAAGTTTCGCCGACCACACGACCAATTGAGAAGTGGACTCATAAATGATCATTTGGAATCGAAGATGGTCGGTTTGGTCGAGTGTCCTTGGTTATACGCATATTGCCTTTGAGAATAAGGAACGGACGTGTTCATAGAGTTAGATTATCACCCAAATTATTAAGGTATTTTCCAACAAAAACTTGATTTATGCAAAGTCATACACAGATAGCTATTGAAATGCTTCAACAATTGGTAAGGCTATATTTTCGCTTCGATATCTTATTATTTACCCCTGAAGTGTAATTAATCTCACATCATTAAGAAACTTATGCCCAAGTCTTTCATCGACCGTCTGCAAACGCAATAAATTTCGTCGATTAGTTTCCTTGTTTACTCATGCGTGTCTTTTGCTCGCTTAAATTCGCTTTACAGCACCCAGAAGAGTATCAAATTACACATCTCGGTGCGGCAGATAGTTATCAAATTTAATAAAAATTTTAGGAGATCTATATTCCTGATTGTAGTAAAGAACTATCATCTATTCTGCATCAGATTTTGACACTAATTGGCGTTGTTAAGATGTGAATTCAATCGGGGATTCGGGTCGCTTAGGCAAGGAGCGAGGCCGTTGCTAGTGTAAGATAATTATCCCCGCAAAAATCATTGATTAGCCGGAGAAGGCAGGAATTAAGTGATGGATATAGCATTTCGAATACGCTTTTCATTAATTTTTCAAATTTCGTCAACTTTTGTAAGATGCCTTTCGTTGAACAAAATTGGCGACTTGCTGAATCCTCGAGCGGTGCCATGCAGCTGGCATGGGGCGGATTTGTAATATTGCAACAAATATTGGGCGACAAATATTGTGCAACTTTGCGAGTAAATCTTTGATATGGCCTTGGTTTGCAAAAGACAGCTGAAGCAAGTTTCTGATAAGTGATAACGAAAGATAAAGCTCATTTATCTCTGTTCTATTTTAAACATTCAGTTATCAAAGGCCACCCGAAGTCTTCGTGATCAAGGCACCCGCTAAACTTTCTTGTGTTATTTCAGTTTCAAAACCATTATCACTTTATCATGCTTTATTCTCTTAACTCGGGTTATATCCCTGGTTTATACAAGAAGTAACACTATTTCAATCAGAATTTTGTATCTGTCTCCAATCTTATCGTCACAACGTTCACCGCCATCTTGGAGCCTAATAGCGTTCACCGACACTACCAACTAGGGAGGGTACATTCTCAGAAATGCAGCATGAAGATCTTATGGGAATAAAATTGTTTAATTCCTGGAAATATTATAATTTTTTACGCTGAAAAGATACAAAGAAATGATATGACTATATTCATGGCACCAAAGGGGTACAAAGGCTCAAAAAAAAATTGGAAACACTTATTAGTGCCTTACCCTACCCCTGGAAACTTGTTGGAAACATTACCAACCAGATCTGAAGGCGACGCGCACGCCGAGAAAAGTGCAAACTTGAATTTCTTTGTTCCACCACCAATTTTCCACCGCAAAAATCTTTTTTTTTCTTTTTGCGTTAAATTTCTTTAGCTTAACTTAATTGAGCGATGTTCGATTGTTGAAAACGGTTTAAAATCCCAAATTTGCGAGAGCTTTCCCGCCAAATGGTACGCCATTTTGTTTTAATGCATCACTCTGAATGCATCATAGCGGGCATGGAGTGGACTACGATGGATCCTTGGAGTGGTATATTGCTTTGATGACCACTACCAACTGATAAGAGCGAGGAATTCTAATTGGGGTCGCGTTTTTTAAAAAGACTTTTCCTTAAATCGTATTTCCAGTGTTAATATACAGCTATTGATTTGGCGGCCATATTGGATTTCTAGCACTATGTCGACAGAAAGTGAAGCAGAAAGCGCCGCTGAAAAGCAGAATGGAGAGAATTTCAACGATGAAATGAAGGTGAGGGAATCGAAGATGTGCCTAACTTTTTAAGTGAGTCTGAAAATGTATCATACAAGGAAAGCTTGTTAGCGAATCTATTCATGAGAGAGTCTTAAAATGACCATAAATGTTGTTACTAAATGGTAGGAACCTAAGTTTTATTGAATCATTCAGCTACTTTTTAACACTTTGCACACACAAAAAAACTTTTGATTAACTTAAATACTAAATCTTGCTGAATTTTGCTTGCTTTGTCAAGTGTCTTTATCGTGCCTTTACTGGTTTGTTTACACAGAACTCTCGGTCCCATGATCATGTCTTCTATCGATTAAAGAATAAATGTTCCCAGTTAATCACGCATGAAGTATTTGTTGACCTTGTAAGGCTCGAAGAGGAAAGAAAAATTTCACACTATCGAAGATATTGATGTTAAATCGAGCGTATTTCATCGATTGAGAAAAACAAATTTAATTAATAGGCTAGTTGAGCGTGCGATCACCGTCTTTGTTCTTCCTTGTAGTTCAGCAGAATATTAATGCAAAGGGCTATGAATAGACTCTTTAATATTGGTTTTCTCGGGCATCTTATACCTCATGGTCAAGGTCTCTACTGTAAGTTATAGACCAAATTGTCTTGTTCTTGGGTTATGAATCAAGGGAAAAAAACAAACGTTTGTAACTTCCAGTAGCGATTGAAAGGTCAAGGTTGGTTGGTTAGTTATAACATTCTGATTATGTATCTAATGAGTTTTGGAAAACATGTTCTGTCACTTAACTGTTAACAAAAGCAGCTTTCTTCCTCATAGTCTTTTAGGCCCTAGGAAGTGGTGGGAACAAGAAAATTTTGATGATCATCATAATATTTAGACTGAATTTAATGATGAGGATATGACTTAATCTCACAATAAGGAATGTCATAGGCTATGTGTAATTGAAATTCAAATTTGAGGCATGGAAATTACTCAGCCACTATCTATCTATCTCAACCCATTGTTCCTCTTGGGGTATAGGCTGTCAACAACAGTCTGCCAGAGGCCTCTGTTCTGGGTCATTCTTTCTACTTGGCTGGTCTTTCTGACATCAACCTTGAGGTTATGATGCCAGGTGTTCCTTGGTTGCCCTCTCTTTCTCTTACCCTGGGGATTCCAGCACAGGGCTTGTCTTGTGACACTTGATATTGGTTTGCAAAGGGTACGCCTTATCCATTTCCATCTTTGCCTTCTGATTTCACCTTCTACTGGTGTTTGGTTGGTCTCACTCCAGAGGCCTGTGTTGCTGATGATGTTTGGCCAGCAGATCCCTAGAATTCTTCTTAGAATTCTTCTTAATCAGCTGCACAAGGCCAAAATCAGCAGCCTAGTCTATAGTTCCCACTTTTTGTGCCCCTTTCTCCCAGAGTTCAGTGTGACACACTAACATCTATTTTTTTTTTCACTGATTTTTTTTTCACTTGCACAAAAGAATTTGCCAAAAAAGAAAGGACTCCTTGTAATCTAAAAGAGGGTTTTAGGTTTTGTTAACTTTGTGTGATAAAAGTTTACCAGTCTATTACTTTGTCTTTAATCAAACACCAAATGTTGGAGTTTTCATTCTTTTTAGGATTATGCAAAAAGCACAATGAATGAGTTATTGGGCATGTTTGGTTATGAAGAAGAAATAACAAGAGAAGCAGTAGAGGAACTTCAAATCAGGTTACTTCCTGATGAAGATGATGAACAAGAAAACAACAGTGCTCTTGTAAAGTCAACAGAGACAACAGAAACTGAGAGTGCTGAGCCTGTTGCTGTTACTCTTAATCCCAATGAGGCTCCAGTTGTGGTGCAAATACCAGGTACTTGTTAATCCTTTAAATCCTAATATGTCTGTGAATATTCTCCATGCTGCTCCCTATACATTTGCAAAGGCACTAAAAAAGATAATTTGTTGAATAATAGGTAGCCTCTTTCTCTTTAGTTGTTGATCATTTCCTTTATTCTCATGCCTGTAATGTGTGATTTAGGGGTAATATTGTAAGGAGAAATAAGATGCTACTCACTCTAAGGGGTGAAAAGGTTAATGACAGAATTGTTAAAATTTATTAGGTTTTTATCATTTTAAAGAAACGTTGAACAGTACATTTTGTTAGCTCACTGTTCCTGCTATAATCAGAAAGAAAAAGAAAGGGCAGAAATCAGCTCCTGGTTGATTTAAGGTTTGGTTACATGAATAAAGATACTTTATACATCTGTAATTCTTTTCATTTTAATCAATTAAAGGTGAAGAAAATAGTGGCAATCCAAGTGTAGTGCCTTTGCCAGCTATGAAAACTGAAGTAAGTTTTATCTTATACAGTAAAAGCTCAGTTTATCTTTTTTTTCTTTTTTTAATATCCTGACTTGCTTCTCTGGTCCCATTACCTTCAAACACTTGCAAATTCATATTTTCATTATCCAAACTCTATTATTTTGATTACTATGCTCAGTCCCTACCAGTCAGGATAATCAAGGTTTGACCCTAATAGGCATTGAGCAGTTGCCCTTGAAAACATCAAGCTGATCCTAACATCTTTCTTGAGTTCATGACCAAGTGAAAAATGTACTGTCTTTCGTATCCTGTTAAAACATTATTGTCTTATCATCTTTCAGTGTTAAAAATCAATTCTTCTTATCACTTCTCTAACTGGATCTGTTATGGTCCCATAGGTAGTTCCTATGTCCGAAGTGCCACAAGCCACATCAGAGCTTTGTAGTTTACCAAGTGGTGCAAATGAAAGTGCTAAAGCTGGAACCGCTTTGGTAAGTTTTTTTTGTAATCTATGTAGCTATCTGTAAAAACATTTAAATATGCAACAAGTTGAACATTCTCTCACCAAAGGGATGTTTTAATTTTTTTAAAATTTTATCTAATTATTGGAATTCATTTCCTTATATTTGACATGTGGGAAACAGTGAATAACCCTTGCCTCTTACTTAGTGAATATTTAAATTTCTCCTGTGTTTTCAACTATTGATCATATTTTATGGTTGTAAAATAGGTTGCTTTTTATATTTATTCATAAATCTTTATTTAAAACAACATACATTACATACAATTAGAAGCTTATAACCCTGCTACAATGCATAGACTCTATTCCAACACATTACCTACAATACATCACATAGGATACATTACTTACAATCAGCAGCTCATTGAAGGATAGTTTGCTTGGTCTTCATGGTCTTTCTTCAGATTTCATGTATTTATTTGTGGATGGCAGGCAATCTTGGCTTTAAAGATTCTCTGAACCAGGAAGATCATTGCATGACAAACAGTCTGTGATGTAACAGTGAGCTACATGGAACAGCTTTACATGATCCTAAAATCTTTCCCCAAAATTTAAATTGCTGGCAGTTTCTTCATTTAACCTATTGACATGATAGGGTGTATAATACTGAAGTTTGTTATACGCAGGAGACTGTATGTCTCTCAATTGGAAATGCGTTGTTAAACTTGTGACAGACTGTTCTGCAACATTCAGTTTCTCTGAATTTTGTCCCATTTCTTCTTTTTGAAACACTTCCTTCACTGCACTGGTATTCCTGAGAACAGAGGTTTGAAAATAAACAACATTGTCTCTTTCAAAATGTTAACAGATAAGAGAATTGTATTCAGAAGCAAGGAGAGTTCTTTGGTGAAAAAAAAATTGTAATGGAAACTAAATTGATTAAAAAAGATTTTCATGGATACAAAATGCAAAGTGGTAGACACTTTTCAAATTTCAAGGATATTTACCTGGCATTCTCAGAAAACTTTTGAACTACTGCAATGTTTATTAAGGGTTCAAAAAGATTGTTTCAGTCTTCTAATGTTGGGTTTGTCAAAGTTTAAAATATTGTCTAAAATACCATTTGACAAGGGTTTTTTGTGTTACAGTAGTGATGAAACTGATGCATAATTAGGAAATTTTGGCAAAAGTTTTCCAAATGTCTTGAGTCCCAATGTGTAGCTTACTTATACATAGCAGTGCTTTGTTTGCAATGCCTGGTTTGTTTTAATACAGTCAGAGAGCACAAATGCATTATTTTGAAAGTAGACAATGTTGTTGGTTGCAGCTGTACTTTATAAGTTTGAAATCTAACCCTACAATTATCTTATTCCTTTTGTCCTCCAAGCACCCAATTTAGGCCATCAGACTATTTTCAATTCCATGCATCACATTCATTGTAATAAAGGCATTGTTTACCTACCCCTCCCATGTGGCAAATTGTAATTGGAAGTCCCTGCAGCTGCAGCCAGTAATTTGAACCTCTGTTCTCCTTTTCCCAGGCCCCGCATTTCCTTGCCAAGCCTCCTAACATCAAAGGAGTGTACTGTGTTGTGGCCTCCCTACCAGTTGTGAACAACTCAGGCAAGACAAATATGGTCTTTAAGTTCTGGAACTGTATCATGTGTTCAGAATACTTTTATCAGAAACCAGAAGTTGTTTTCCGTGTGGAACATCCTCATTTATTTGGAAGCCATCCCGATTGGCTCTATCAGGCTGCTGTTTGCCAAAAATGCCACCACACTTTGAAAGCTTCCAAATCAGGCTTGTCAGCAGACTTGCATCCAAAGGAGGCTACCAATGTATCTCATGTTGAAGTCACTGATGACAACAAACTGGATGGTGGGAAGTTAAGCTGGAAACTTCTTGTGACAAATAGTTCCTCCACAGCTTCTGATTCTACCATAAATCACAATCCTGTTAGTTCTGTAGAGAAGAAGGCAGCATTGCAGTCAACTACAGCTCATGGCAGCACAGAATTCATAGACACATCAGAGCTTTTGTTTGATTGTTACATTTGTTCAAAGCAAGTACTTAAAAATAGTCGTCATGGGAAGCTCAGAAGAAGCAAATTCCCTACACTTTTTAGTAATTTACCTGAGAGTGTTGGCATTTTAAAAGGATGCTTGACATGCTGCGAAAGATTGGCTCGTCAACGTGATAGGTATGTGACTGCAGGTATCTCAGAAGAGGACAGAGACTATGTTGCACACATCAAGATATGGACTGGCCAAGACATTAGTAATAAGTTGGCATCATCTGGCTCCAAGAACAGCAATTGCTCAACTTGTTTTATGTGTGACAAATACATCCCAGAGAATTCGCAGAAAGAGGTCAAGACATTGAACAGGGTCAAGTTTCCGTCACTATTCTCAACTGTTCCAGATCAGATTGTTAAGTTGATAATTTGCGATGCTTGCAATAGGAAACTGCTTAAGGTCAAACGTAGATTTGAAGAGGCTCAAACAGCAGAGGAGGAAAGAGACTATTGGTTGTACATCAATAGCTGGCGAGACCAAAAGGGTTTAGAAAAACACATGTACAGTAAAATTTAGTAGAAGTGTACTGAATTATGTCACTATTCTGAAAGCATCAGAAGGCAGTAGAGGGCCGTTATATATTTTACTTCACTAATTATTCTTGTAAATTATCTCCAAAAAGCCTGTCAGGAGCATAGAAAAAACAAATAAGGAAAAGAGCTACAAATATACTAAATTGAATGATCCATGCATCAATATTCTTGATTTAACAGTGGTGATGAGAGCAGGGTTCCTTTGAATGAAGAACACCTAAGACTTATATTATACTCAGTGGTAATTCTCACAAAGAGAGTATATAGTTCTTGGCCCAAATGTCAGATATTCAGTCCTGTTTATTTTATTTCATTATATAGTTTTTCAAACTTTTTTATTTTTCGTGGGCAACCTTGTTTATCTTTTTACAATCAAACTTGTAATAAAAAAAAGACATCCAGAAAGAACTTGTGTGGCACCTTTCTGCAACATCTCTAGTCTTTCTCTGAGCTCTTTTCACCACAATCAGTCCATGTTGGTGGTGTTTTGTCCTTCCTGTCATGTGGACACCATTGTCTATCAAGTTATTTACTTACAAGAGTTACAATACAACGTTATGTCTTCTGTACTTTGAGCTGCATGCTAGTCTACCAGTAGAAAGTCAGGGTTGAAACAATGTCCTTTAACCCTTTCCCTCCCAAGATCTCATTGGTAACTCTCTTTACCTTCTGTTATGCAATTCTTTTGCTGTTAGTTTGGAGAATATGGTATTGGATCAATGAATATTCTCCTAGTTGATGTTCTTCTTTACTCTTATCAGTTATCTGCTTTTTATTGTAATGATTTTGTAAGGAAGAAATATTCTTGTTCACTTAAGAGATGGGATTGAAATTGTTAGCAAGTTTTAAGATGACAAAAATAGCTTGTTGTCTGGCATTTTGCATGTTGATCTATCATGATGAGGTGACAAAAAGAAAAGTACAGAATTTTTTGCTTGATAGACATGTTGGTGTTTCAGTATTTGAACTTTTGCCTTACAATGTTGGAGGGAATGAAGAATCCTGCAAACACAATCTCAGTGGTATTTCCAGTTGCAGATTATGCTTCATGCAGAAATTAATTTTTGGGGAGGGAAAAAATGAAAAATGGAAATGTATCTACATGTAGGTACAAGATAAAGAGTAGCATTCTGCAAATATGTGTGAGTTTGTCAAGTGATACTTGACTCAGTTAAATGAAGTCTGAGAAATGGAAGTGAATAGTATTGTGAACAGTTTTCTTGTTGACTCACATTCACAGAGCAAGACAACACAAAATAAAGCACCTACTTCTTGTGACCTGCCAAGACCAGAGGTGGATGAGGGTAAGAGTTACTTCATATGCTAATTGCATTTAGTGTGAAAAAAAATTAAAAGGTTTTGAAGTACAATTGACTCTCTGCTAACAAACACTGTGGTAGCAGGCAGCAGTTCTGCTTACAGACAATTTTTTCAATTCCTGTTTTTGCCTCCCAGTCAAACATTTCTTGTATGTACACATACACCTAAGCAAATGCAGACACTTTTAAAAGTGAAAATTTGATTTTTACTTTGTTTATCCTCGCTCATAAGCAGAGACCCCATGCAAGAATATGACCTTTGAGAAACAGAACAGATGGGATTGGTTGTGTCAAATCACCTTTTGTCTGCAGGAAAGAAAGTTGTCCATACCTTTGACATAAAAAAGAGTTGGACATAACTCTCTCCTGTTAGTAGACATCCCTTCTCTTTTTCTTTGGTTGTCAGCTCATGGCAATAATTCCCATAGGTGGACAGTCCTACTAACAAACAATTTCTCCAATGCTCAAGGATGTCCTCTTATGTAAGAGTTGAATTTACATTTGTCAACTCAAGTTTACCAGTTTTTCAGGGAAACTTATATGTGCTCACCTTGTGTTTTCCTCTCAATTTGTTACTGTAACCACCATGATCCATTGATATTGGGGGTTACTGTTCAAACAGTAGCCAGAAGTTGAGAATCCTTTTTCTACAGGCTTGCTGAAATGTTTAAAACGATAGCTCAAACCATAACAGAAAATGAGTAAAAAACTAAAGAATTGTCCCTTAGAAGTGGGGCTCAGAAGAAGTGAGGGGTTTTTATGAACATAAAAGAAAAATAATTTTTCCCATTACAGTGAGAGAGATCTGAAGAGGTATATATTTGTGACAAAGAATTTATGAAAGATAATCTATGTGGCTCTAATACCAAATACATCAATTTGTTCCCTCTCAATACCTTTGTGCTTTTTTTTTTCAATACCTTTTTTTTCAGAGGAGTTCTTTTAAGATTAAAGTTCAGTTTTGTCTTTGTTAATAGGTGTACAGGTAACATATACATCTTCACCAAGTAAGAAACCAGGACAGAAGTTTGGCTTGTGCAAATGGTGCAAGAAATCCAATGTGTTGCAGAACTTTACATCCAGTGATGGCGAAAAGGAGATCTCTTGCAAGGATCTTTGCTCTGCATTGTGCTTTGAACAGGCTGTAAAGAGCATGAAGGAAAATCAGTCCCACATCAATAACACTCAACAAATGTCACCAACAATTAAGTCTGGTGAGTTAGCAAAGGGGAAGGATACTGTCCTTTTTGATAGCCAACCTGGCACATATGCATGCATCTGCGCTCCGATCTACGACTGTGACAAGTAGCAAAACATTTTGGAAACTAAATTTGCAGCTAAAGTGACCAATTTTGTTGCCTGTGTTTTACAGTTACTAAGCAAGTTGTAACATTTTAACTTCTAGGCTTTCATTGTCTGAAGTTACATTTAAATAACATCTGCACACCATAGCACAAAGTGTCCTTTTCGGTTTTGTTTGTTTGTTCGTGTGTTTTGGTAAATCATTGCTGACTAAATGCTTCTCAATCCCCAAGGGCTTTGCATTTCACAAGCATTATGGCAAAACTGATCAATCAGTTTTGAGGAGCCAGACCTGCAGCATTCAATGATCAAACAATCTTCTCAGGCTGTGAAAACATCAGTCACAAATAACAGTCCTTTTAAGGGCTTTCTTCAGCCAAACAATCACAGTGCACAACTGTCTCTGGCTCAAACATTTTTATTGAAATACCCTTTTTTGTGTTCCTTTTGATCTCTACGTTAAAAAGAGAAAACGTAAAGGAATACACCGCAAGTCCAAACATTTTCCCCTCTATTCTGCTCACTGATTTTGAGCCAGACTCTTCCTCTTTCAATGGATTAGTGATCGATAATCGAGAGACAAAAATGGTTTTATGTTTTTATCTTGCAGTTTCAAAGAAGTCAGCACCATCTGCTCCTATGACTCGTTCAGCAACAAGGGGAAGTGTGGCGTCAGGCAAAAGTAGCTATCATTTACATTTGCCTTGTATCTCCACAAACTCATATCTGCTTCTCTTCCCTTGTCTGGCTCTTTTTCTTTTTCTTTTTCTTTACAAATGCCCCTCGCTAAATTAACACATTGAACGAAATTCATGCCATCACGTTGTTGCTCTGTGGCGGTTGCATCCATGTTAGGCATGTGTAGTTCATTGAGTTTTATCCAATCTTCGCAACCACTTTAACAATTAAAACTAAAAGGCTCTACTTTGTTGATGACGTCTGCTTGAGCTGTCAACGTGACAGGCACTGTCACAGATAGCAGTCCTTTTCAGGACTACTTTCACTGTTCATTTAAGGAACGCAGTTTCCCTCCATCCAGGAGTGCGACTAGGATGTGGAAATGCTATATTTAATCCAGAGGGATGATCAAAATTCCTAGTTGCTTTGAGCGTTGGAAGCTATGAGATAAGCTTGAATTGTTCTTGGCAACTCCTGAAATTTAAGGGCGAGCAAGAGCCTCGTTTAATCATTCTCTTCACCAGGCAAAGTGGTTTTAGTGTACAAATAAAGTTGTTGAGCTGTGTCATTTTTTATTTTTTCCAGCGAAAACCGATGGAAGTACACCTAAGAAGATTCCCCCCGCGCTAGGTAATGAACGAGCAATTGATGTAGGATATGTCGTCAAAGCGTGGGTGGAACTGGAAGTAGATAAGTCGCCAAAATAAATGAATCTTTTAAGGCCCGTGACTGTCAAATATATGCTATCTTCTAAAGGTAATGCGTCGATCAATGGTACATTTCAACTTCTCCCCTCCCCCCACGGCAACCCCTGGGCATTTAAACTTTGGAAGATTGGCAACCCCACCTAGGCAAGGTTTAAATTCCCCACCACCCGGGAAAGGACTATAGTGGGTTGTCCCGGGGACGGGGGATGTTGAAGCTTCCAATCGATCGTCGCGCAATCGTTGGTTTTCTTTTTTCAGTAAAGCGCTCAGTTAATGGTTAAATTCACTGTGTTTGGTTTTTATTTCAGGGTTTGTTCTGTTTTCCTGGGATGAATACCTCGCCAAGACAAATTCTGAAGCGGCCCCTTGGGGTTATTTTAGACAGGTTAGCACTATATATATGTATATATGGAATTTATCTTAAAACTGCGCCTTTCATTAGTTTGTTTTATTTGTATTATGGCTACCCACCATCATTAAAAGTTGTAGCGATATAAAATATTCTGTCTGCTGCTCTTTCGTTCCATTTTCGTACCTTGTCGTCCACATAGTTACTACTTGTTTTTCTTTCAAGGATATCACGATTAATTCGATTGAATTGGAAATAACTAAGAAACGGTAGTATGAAGAAATGGGAAATTATTTTTGACGTTGTCCACCTGAATTGATCAGCTTGTTTGCGGTCAATTTTGGCCCAGTTGGTTTAGTCGCTGTTGTTCTTGTGCGGTATTTTGTAAACCAATCACAACTGACGGCCGCTGTGGGAGTATGTCTCTTGGCCTGGTCTTTTACAGGCAATAACATCACGACAAATCTGATCAAACAGTTTTCTCGAACTAGACTTAAATAAACAACTTTCGGTAGACAGAAAACCCTTTACTCAAAACTCGCAGAGAGTAGTCCTACTTCTCAGCCAACTCTCTCTTGAACTATCAAATTTTACAATCGATTTTGTGCACACTGATATCTGTTTTCTTTTTTGACATGTAGGCTCAAGTACCTCCGTACAATGGCTTTCAGTGCAGTATGAAATTAGAAGTGGCAGATCCACGGATAGTGGATACCATATGTGTTGCTACTGTAGTTGGCATATTAGGACCAAGGATCAGGTGTCGGTTTGACGGCACTGACAGTGCCAACGATGTCTGGCACCTGGTGGACTCTAGAGAAATCCACCCTGTAGGGTGGTGTGAGGGAAACGGAGGACGATTGCAGCCTCCTGTTGGTACGTGTCTATCATAACGTACCAGTCAAAGCAAGATTATCTACCCTCGCCACACCCTCTCTCTCCCCCCAATCCAGTTCATCTAATCAGGAATCAGACCTATCACCTTTGCATAGTGGTGAAATCATTATCACTCCACAAGATGACTCTCAAGATGTTTGTAAATTTATGTCGAGCATTTTCATCCACTCTCTTAACTGACGTAACATTTTGTTCTTCTAGGCTTTCACCTTGATCCTGGGAAGTACTCAACTTTTTTGGCAAAGACCCTTGCCAGTGCGGAACTGGCTCCTGTTCGGCTGTTTAAACGGGTTAGTAACTTCTTTGCGTCCTTCAAAGAGAGGTTATTGTCAATCGTGGTATTCAATTGGGGTTTACCTTTTAGCCTCATGTGTGGCCTGTTCCAGGCATTCACTATGTGAAACAAAGCGCGATGAACGGCGGAATAGGTACAGAAGATTAAAAAACGAGCGAGGCTTGGGTCGGGTCGCGTTATGAATCCGACCCAAACCTCCCTCGTTTTTCTCGCTCTGCCGCTACTATCGCGCTGTTTACTATTTCGCTCCGTTTTTCTAACTGAACGCCTGAAGTATGTTACCTCATCCAGTGGCACACTCTTTAACACATGAAAAGGTTCCAGATATTCGTAACGTGTACTGCGTGACTTTTTTATGACTTGCGTTACTCTAACATCACACCAGTGTGAACAAAAGGAGAGCTCCAGTTTCCTTCATCCTTTGCAGGAGCCGACAGCACCTAAAGAGAACATGTTTAAGGTCGGCATGAAGCTAGAAGCATTGGATCCTAAAAACCCTCTTCTCATCTGTGTGGCTACTGTGGCCGATGTCGACGGCGACAGAATCCGCGTGGATTTTGATGGATACCTTGGTTCAGATTACTGGTGCAGATACGACTCCAGGGATATATTCCCAGTGGGTTGGTGTCACCTTAGTGGTCACCCTTTACAACCACCAGGTATGAGGGGAAGTCTCCTTCGCAGCTGTTGCTTGGTTCCGTCACGAATCCAGCTGTTACGAGATGTAGAAAAAGAGAGACAAGGAAAAAAAGTAGAAAAGGAACTACCAAACAATAACTGGTTTATTAACTTAGAACAGATTCCTGTCAGCAAAGAACGGTACTATACGATTTTCAAACGATATTAACACAACAAAGGACCCGAACTGAACGACTTGTCTTTCCAAGTGACCCAATCACTGATGACTTTCGCTTTTAGAGTCTTACTACCAATCATTTACATTTTACTAACAAGACCTCTATTGCACCTTCCTTCACTCTGATGATGACTTCGACTCAAATGGTCGAAATGCCAGTCACTGGCAGCGGCTCCATTCCTTTGAAGGTATTTTCCATTGACTTTTGATCTTGTTTGTTTTCCCAAGGTAAAACCAGGAAAGCGTTGAAAGTAAGGTAAGGTTTTTTTTGCTTGACACTCAACACCCAAACATCAGCAGGCATGTTCTGTATACTGTTCTCCATACATTTCGTAAGGTGCTGATAACAATCAAGACCTTCTTCTGTTGGTGATCATTTCCTCTATTCTCGTGACCCTAATGTTTGATTCGGTGGAGATCTTGTTGGGAGAAATTCAATGTTAGTCACTCTAGAGGTTTAAGAGTTTACTCAGTTACATCAAAGGTTTGCGTCTTGCTCATCTTTTGGAATTTTACTACTAGTCAGCACGTTTCAGTCAAAACCGTGGTTACAGTGTAAAGGTTTTAGAGAAGTTTGCAGCTTTTTATATTTTGAAATTTAAATTAGAGAATTCAACTGTGTGCCAATTTAAGTGTAAGTGATGTAAGTATCACGATTTAGGTGTTACAGTGGTAGTAAGGTTGATAGAGCTGACTTATAGTGCAAAGTCGCCTTATGGCATGACGAGGGGTCGTTGAGTTCCCCATTCGTCAAAAATATCTTTTTAGTACAGCTGGTATTCTGATTTGAGGTATATTTGTTGCCTTTTAGTGGTAAGACAAATGCTGTACCCGAAAAATCTGTGAAGCCGGAAAAAGCTGCTAAGCTGGACAAAGCTGCTAAGTTGGAAAAGCCTGTTAAAACTGCCAGGCCGGAGAAACCTGAAAAACGTGATAAGAAAAAAATTAAGGTTACCTCGAGTGTTACACCTGCAACTGTGGCAACTTCTCCCGTCCCTACCCCTGTAGTGACAACACCATCGTCTACTCGCTCAGGCTGCGATTCTCCATCTTCATCCGGGATAGATCCTGAGGATGGTGTCAATCATACAGTTCAAGTTTTTATTAACCATGCGTGCGAAGCTGGGCCCCACTTGAGTGCTGCCAAAGTAGCAGGGCTACCAACCTGTTTTCGAGGCACAGTGTTGAATGTGACAAGAGACTGTATTCAATCTGTGGTGAACGCCGCCATTGAACCCAGCGTCGTGTTTGGCTTTTTGAGATCAGGAACTGGTCGCATCAAGATCACGGCTAAGGACGGGAAGCAGATTTTGTCATGTTACTTACAAGTTATTGATCGCGTGGCTGTGTTCTGGCGCGTGTTAGAGAAGTTCGCCGACAATCTCCAGTGCTGTGAGAATCTGCTTTGTGGAGAGCGCATCACAGGACCATGTCCGAAGTGTGGAAAGAGTGGTAAGATTGATTTTATTCCAAAACTTGATGAAAGATGTCTGCTAGCCACGAACGGGGCTCAGAGGGCCAAAGTTCGTTTTCTACTTGCGCGCGGCGCACTCGTGTCATTCATTGTGTCATCTTTGAATGCATAAGCAAGAGATTTTTGACTGATTTGGTGAAGCTCGGAGAGTGTGGTAATCCGCTCGGTAAGATTTTCGCACAACCCTATACTTAATCATGCACAGTTCCTGGATAAAAGAAAACTATGGCGAAAACAACAGATTGCCTATGGATCTACAACTTTGTTTTAGAATAAAATGGGGTTATATTGTAAAATAACTTTTCAACAGCTCTAGTTACCAATTAATCACCGCTAGTGGCTATGGGAAATCTGCTTATGCGGTCAAGCGTGATTGTATTTCAGCCGTATTTCACAGCTCATTTCTCATTTGGTCGTCAGAGATCATGAACAACTGAAGAACTTAAAAATCAAATCAGCAAGAAGACATAACACCAAACCGTCCAATAATTTAGTTTAAACATTTTTTGATTTACTATTTCTCCTCAGCGTTAAGACGAAACACGGTTTTGCCAGAGACACCATCACTTACTGCAAAGAAGAGTACTGTTGGTTCAGTGAAAAGAAACGCATATAGTGAATCCGATCAACAACAGCAACCTAGCGCCAAACTTCCACGGATTACTCTTGACGATGAAGGTAGAACAGGATATGATCATCTGGAAACAAGAAATTTACTGAAGGCGTTTAAAAATACGTTCTTTAATTTTTGTTTAAGCGTCGCGGGCGAGATTTCCGTAGAACTCCATTCTTCATTCTGTGTACAGTCATTTGATAAAGGAAAAGAGTGGCCAATACAATAGTTTGCCATTGAGACTAATGCTTTGTTTTTGAAGAGTATCGGGCTCGAAGGAAATCTTTCCGCGTCGCTTACTCCGACTGCAGTTCGCTGATTCTTTGTACTGTGGAAACGCCTCAATTCATTTGTTCTTACACCTGTTCTTACCTAGGGTTTTTTTTCATTCCATCAACACTTGACTTTACTCAGGCGGATATTTAGCATGAGCAGGAAGCTGACACAAAATTCAAAATGTTTCATCTTCTCTTTCAAATGTTTAGTAACTTCTATATCACTCGACATAATACTGTTGTCTGATCGAAATAATTGTAACTGGTCAACATTTCGACTTCAACCTTCTTGTCTTTATATAGATGCAAGCCAGTCTCCACAAGTCTGTTCAACTTCGCCTCCCAAAACTTGGTCAGTGTCAGAAGTTGTAAAGTTTATAGAAAATTCCGAACTGGCTGAACATGCGGAAATGTTTAGAAAACACGTAAGTTGTTACTTGTTACATTGTTTTTTTAATCTCTGAGAATTGTTTTAATGCATGCAAAAGACGCGTTAGTACAGTAGCTCGTTATGTTCGTTTTGTACATACAAGGGGCTACTGATTAGAACCTCCTGTTAGGGAGGCTTGGATGGAAGAGTTCTCCAAAAGAGAGTTGGGGCCGATATCAAGCACGGTAAAACCGTTTGACTAGAATTGAGAAGCTCAGGAAAACGTAACCAGAGCGTATTCATAGCCCACGAGGAAACTTACGATGGGTGCCAAACACTGGAAAAATGTTACCAGTGGTAAGAAAAGACAGCGTGTTAGCACTGATGCTATTCGCGGGGACAAACGCTGTTAACTTACAACAAATTACACCCGCCGCAAACATGTAACCAGTGCTAAACGTGGGAAAATTTAACCAGTCCTAAGCGTGGGATACATACCATGACCAGTGCATGCTGAGGAAAAAAGGAAGCCATTTTTAATGGGCGGGGAAGACATGTAACCAGTGACACTCGTGGGAGAACGTGTAACAGTGCTTAGTGCGGGAAAAATGTGATCAGTGCTGAGTGCGGAAAAAACGTGATCAGTGCCAAGCGCGGGAAAAATGCGACCCATCATTGCATGCCAAGCGCAGGAACAGTGTGATAAGCGTGAGAAAGCAAGTGACCAGTGTGAACGGTTGGTCGCGACAGCTATTAACTACTTAAGTTTTAATTTCATCTTTTGTTTACAGGAAATTGACGGGAAAGCTCTTCTTCTTCTAACTCGAGAAATGATTATGTCTTACATGGGCCTCAAACTCGGACCTGCTATAAAACTATTGTGCTTCATTGATGAACTGAAAAACAAGAAATATACGTAAACTCTAACGACTTCTATAGGCACAATACGGAATCGCTGTCTTATCGTGTGGTTTCCAATGAATGTGGTATTTCTTAGTGAAGTCGCCGAGAAGTTTACACACGGCAGACCATAAGTTGGGGAAAGTACACTCCTGTGCGATGGACGAGGTTCTTGGAGAAGAAAGAATCAACTTCTACCTTTCAAGGCAGTCATTTACACTTGTTTTTGTTCCGGCGAATAGGTTATTTTAAAATATATTTAAACTTTTTAATTGTACGCGAGCAACTAGATATATGTCATTCGATTCAAAACGTTCATGTGATCAAATTGTAATAAATTGGAACTTCCAACGATGATGGTGTTTTTGCATCATACATAAATGTTACAAATACTGTGAAATTGCTTAATGGAAAACAAACTCTAAAAGAAACTATTATAATACAAAAACAAAAATTACTGCTTCATTCCTACATCATTAATGCTTTTCCATGGATAAAGCAGAGTAACTCCTTTACAAGGAGAACACCAATAAGAGTCAAAATAGACTCTTGTGGACCCCACAACCTGATAAGCTCCATTGTCATAGTGTGTTCTCACTTGGGGCCATGTGAATAATCTTGGAAAACAAACCCTCAAGCAGCTGCCTTGAAATCAAACTATCATACACTGTTAGAGAAACCTGGGATTAATCCCTGGGATATCTTCAGCCAACTCCACTTAAACTATTCCAGAGTGACAAGAACATCACAAACAACTTCAGGATGTAAGTCACAGTAACCTGTAAGCCATCAGCATGGAAACTTAGAATGACTAAAAAAAGAAGAACAAGAATACAAAGCATGCTCAGAAAACTGACTAAATAATATTAAAATCAGGTTATTATTAAATTTATGGCACTTCATTTAAAATAGTTAATTTAATTACCTTATGCGTTGTTCAGCAACTATACAGAACCCACACACCAATCATGCGCAAACCCAGCATACTAACGTTAAACAAGATGGAAAACTTTATGAAGTAATTTTATACTATTCATTTTGGAATACACCTTTCTGTTACTATGTGTAAAATTATGTTAGTGAATCATATCAAACAAAATAAAACATTGATGGTTTTATAGGTTCAGAACACAACACTTCCTTTTCAAAAAACGAGAACAAAGGTAACTCACAATAATTCAACTCAGAATACATAAAAAACTGATCCTTAAATTGACCTACATGTAGATATTAACAATACGACCACAAGTAAAGCAGCTTTATTACACAAACCTTAAAATGTTCGAGATACCAATTTCACTTTATCAAAAATTTCGTTTAAATATCCAGAGAAAAAAAGGAATGTAAATGTCTAATTGACTCGAAACAAACGAATAATAACCTTCCTCCGTAAATCATTCATTCCAGATAACAGAATCAAATAAACATGCAAACGATGGTATCTGAGTTCGTCCTTGGCCAAATATAAACGACTCCACAAGATCACTTTCTCCAAGCATCGAAAACATTTCCATTCGTAGTGTTCTCTAAATTACCCTCGACACAGCCAAACAATTTCCCCCTACAGCCAATTATGACACAAAATCCACCTTGTAACACACTTGTAACTGTACAATTCTAACATCATAAGTAACACAACAGGATGTTGACCATGAAATTAACCGCAACCAAACCACCAAAGAGAAAAGTCAGCCATCTTTCGTAGAAAAATCGTTGTTCAATAAGAAGACATTTAAGATTACATATCAATCGAAGACGTTGTCACACGAAGCGACAAAACTGCCTCGGAGCCACACAAAATCATCTATGGTTTATTTTAATCAGACATTCCGATCTAGAGATAGCACCGAGCAAATCAATTCCAGAAAAATATAATCGGCACACTCAACAGATCGTGAATCATGCAACACAGCTTGATAAAAAACTGTTCAAATTAAAGTGTCCGGTGCAATCCATCAACACCTCAAGCAATATTAAATTCAATTTTTTCAAAATATGTTTTACAAACTCTCATCGAGAACGAAAAATAACCATGATCGTGCTACAGAGCAGAGAACTCCATTTTTCTCGAATAACCATCCACTATTTTCACAGCATGAATAATACGTTTACTCTAAGTAATCTGATGTCTTTCATCTGTCCGACAGTATCGCATTTTCCTCAAAAAGCGCGTAAAATACGCATTAAAATCACAGAAAAACCAGCATTTCTCAATGTAGACGCAAAGCGTCCTCTCCGTTTCGCGCGTCAGTATTTGTTGAAAAAAATCCAAAGACCAAAAACAAGGCTCCGATTGGTGCAAGATATCAAAATTCGATACAACCCGAATACCGCGATGTGATTGGACATAAATATCCTAATGCGGCGATCTGATTGGAACGAAATACATACCTAATGTAGCGTTCTGATTGGTGCGAGTAACATAGCACTCGTTGTTTGTTTTTTAAAATAATTAAAAAATTAGTTACCATTCCCTTCATTATCATGCGCTGGAAATGTTTGTATAGCTTGACCTTTGAGTTTCCAGCGTCGTGACATGACGAAATAGTCGATAAGGCTTATTCAAGAATAAACAGAAAAAATAGATCGAACTGAGTTGAAAAACACTCTACCTTGTCTACTTGGGGCGATTGTTTAGAAAGAGCAAGAATGGAAAATTACTAAGAGTGGTATATATTTAATTCTATATAAAAACATTGAAAGAAACTTCTTAGAAAATAGATTGAGTTGATAATAACGATCAAATGTTTGAACGTGACATTATTTACACTAATTCGCTCGAATTAAGGATTAAAAAACAGATGGCACGGATGACCTGTACTTTAGAACACCACAGGCTGTCCATTACCCGAAGATGGAATAATGTGACCCCCATCATCCATATTCCTCAGGGCTAATGAAATGAGCCCTAACGAGTGAAAATTACCAGTTAAAACTAATGACCTAAGATTCCGCCTTGCTCGATTTTACTTTATTTGACATCTACTTTCCGTTGTAGGTTCAAATTTTCGTTTAATTTTGATTGTTACTAAGAATAGTCTTAACCCGACTTCCTTCACCGTGAGATTTGACCTGAAGCTCTAAAACTGTCTCTTGTGACGTATAGTTTCTCAGAAATTCCATGTTATTTTTCCAGGAATTTACCTCCACGAGTCTTTGTTCAGGGTTTTCCCTGTGGTTTGGCGGCAGAATCAAAACTACTCCAGCATTCACGTGTAAAGTTTTAAATCATCCTCACTTAATTAAAAAAGATAATGCGTGCCCCCTACCGTCTTAGAAACGACTTATTTTCAGCCTTTCTGAGATGATAGGTTCTTTTTCAACCAATAATAAGAAATAGGTATTTTCTCTGAATTTTAGATGCGCTCGTTACGGAATCAATCGAAGCGGGTCGTAAAAATAGCCTTGAGAGTCATTTTTCTCCAAAGACTTCCCGTCCGTTTGAGTTATGAAGTTTCCTTTAGCGAGGGAAGTGAATAATTCATTACAATCCACCATACACTCGTGTGAAACAGATGATTTTACCTGAATTTCACGGTAATTAATGTCAAAAAAAATTTATTGGTTTGTACTGAGTGGCGAATTTTTATCTCTGGTTTTCTTTTAATGCTTGAAAAGGACTTGAACAGGGAACTGAACATGGTTATCCAAAACATTGGATTTGAACTGGTGTAGTGTAGTGATGTAAACCAATTATTAAAGCAAACATGACAAATTTCCTATTTGCTTTTTCATTTGACTATTCATCTCAACATGGAAGATAATAAACTTGATTTTGATCCAGAAACGGAAGATTCATTATCCCAAAGAAAGGAAATATTACGACTTATGATAATTCTTTGTGATATCAAATCTCCTTCTTACGTTGTCAGCTTATAATAAGTCAGTCGTGCCATTTTGCACTAACGATCATTATTCCCTGTCCAAGTTCTTGACGTATTATAGTTTGCCTCCTCTTGCTATATATGGTAAACTTGGAGGTGTGTCATTGACGTCAGTACCTGCAAGCGTTTTGAGTGGCTGATATCGATAGGTTTCACTGAGAAGTGTCACATCATGGCTGTCGGAGAAAAAGCCTCTCATACCCTAGAGGATATGTTGGCAGTTTCATAAGAATTTCCTTAGCTTTCTTCGCTGAGGATTGATCCTGGAATCATGAACGATGAAGAAGACTTACCCAGTGAGATAGACACCATCAGAGATCTGTGTGGCTTGCAAACAAGAGACGTAACTTCGCGGCTTGAATTCCTTGAATTGCTAGGGAAAACACTAAAAGCGTGGACAAACAGACATCAAGAAAATGGGGAAAATGGGTTTGAAAACTTTTCTTCGAGTGTTTTGCCTTGTATTTTGAGACTGTCATTTAGAAGTCCCTTTTCGGATATCAGGGAGCGTTGTACAGAGTTGCTCCTCGCCGTGAAGGTAAGGAACATGTGAAGTATCGGATCTAGCCATTTGTGTCATGTTTACCACTTCCTTTGAAGAAATGGCCGCTCAGCTTTTGTTATTTTTTCTCTAGGAAAAAGGTATTAAGGTTCCTCGAACGATTCACAAGGGGCCTTCGATGTTTATTCCGTCAAAAAAGGTATTTATTCATCGCTGTTTTTAGAGTAATCGTAGTTCGTCCGCTAAAAATCTCCTGTATTGGTTCAAAAGGTCAAACTCAAGTTGCATCATCCCAGTGCCAGCCGAACCGGTATTTGTAAACCTTGCCTTTTTGGTCTTAACGAACAGTAATAGAGAACTAACCCAATCCTCTTCGACCTCTGCAAAGAATTTTCAGCATATTCTGTTCAAAGTACTTTACTTATTAATTTGAGATTTGTACCCTGCCGAATGGATTTATCTATTGTACCTATTCTCTATCTCTACAGTATCTTCTACTTTCCATATTTCATGCCTTTTTATCTCATGGACACCCTTGCGTGCCGCGAGAATATTAGCACAAAGCGAAAACGGACTAATCTCATTTCTTTTCATTACGAAAAGAATACTGTACCTCAGGTAGACTGAAGCATTTGATCTCAAATGCTGTGCAGTGAAAGCGAATTTGCTGCTGGCAAATGATGTTTCTGCAAATCTTCGTATTTCGGTCCACCGGCTTAAATATTTATTGATCTGAAGTTTAGGTCCTAAGGTCCATGAGATATGTTTTTAAGTCTCAACAGCAATTAAAATTTATCATTTACGCATATTGTGCGTCACTAGTCTGAATTGTTTTATTTGTAATTCGGTCTGGTGATTCGACATTGTTAATTCCGTCTGGTGATTCGACATTGTTAATTCCATCTGATTGTCCGCTTGAGGGCGTAGATATAGATATTTCAAAATTATTATTGGGACCTTTATGTTAC